TCGGCGACCTTGAAGTACGTACTGGCCCAGCGCGCTTCAGTACCGACGAGGAGGGCCGGGGTGGTGATGTCTTCAACGAGGACCTCGAGGGTCCGCTTGTAAACGGAGTCGACCTCCGCATACTCGTTAAGACGAGTAAGGAGCGAGCCGAGGGCGACGAGGGTCTCGGGGCGCATCTCAACCCGCGGGTGACCCTGCCCCAGCGCGTACTCCTGGTTCGCCAGGAAGATAGCCTGTAAAAGAAGACGTCAGTTGCGGCTCACGGGGAAACAGGAGAAAAGGGGGGGGGCTTACTCCAGCAAGCGCTACCTCGCGAGCCCACGAGAGCCATGCGGAACTCTCATCCGGAGGGGCGTCGTCGGACAGAGGGGGCTCGGCACGGGCGACGCAGACGATCCTCATCTCCAGGTTGACGAGGGTGGAGAGTGCGGCGAGCCGGAGGGAGTAGAGGCGATCCGGGAAACTGGACGCCAAGGCGGTGGCGGCATCGAAGGCCACAGCGCGGGCTTCAGAGGACGGGGAGCGAGACATGGAGAGCACGAGGAAAGCGGGTCGACAGCGAGGAGAGGAGCAGGTGGTGGAGGATGCTGGGCAGGCGGAGGGAGCACCGGAGGCAGCGATTTATACGCGGACGGTGGCCGCTGATGGCCCGGAGCCACACTGATCGGAGGGCCGATCGAGATCCCAGGCCACTTCTTCCCACGGAGGGAACGCGCCCGGCCAATCAAGTCCCGGGAAGGTAGGCTGGATGATCGAGCGAGACGGGCAAATTCCGGCAGGGTCAGTGAAGGAAGGGACACGGAGGCGGGGATAAACGAGCGCGTACAACGAACACAGCAAACGGACCGGAGACGGCCTGACCGGGGACGGTCAGAATTTCAGGTGGGGGGAGATGTGGGGAAGCCCCACAGAGCAGGCCCGGAACCAACGGATATAGGGCACACGACCACAGGAGACAACAGACGACGTTACACACGGAAGGAATGTCGAAGGATAGGTTACCCAGGCAGCACGACCGGAAAGCAACAGGTAGGGCAACCGGAGGCAGCCGTGGACGGCACCGGAGGGTACAGGAACGAACTACCCCTCACGCACACTCTCCCCCTCATCCATTAAATCAGTCTCGGTCTCAGTTTCGACACCCGCATCCTCGAAGTCGTCACTAGTACGCGCCGGAGGGAACTGAAGGCGACGCGGAATGCCGGAATAGTCAGCGTCCGGAACGTACACGCCACGTGAAAGACGATCATGCACGCCGGCAACACTGGACGCCAGGGCGGAGAGAATACGGCGGGTGTGTTGGGCCTCGGACTGAAAGGAGGCGAATGCGTCACGTTGAACGGTAGCGTAACGCTGGAGCTGGGAGATGAGCGCGTCGAGGCCGTCGGAGGAAGCCCGGAGGGGGGAGAGCTGCATGGGCCTCTCGAGGTACCGGACCGGGAGCAACGGACGGCCCACTTCGACATCGGACTGCTCAACAGCGACGCGGTTGGCGGACCAGGCGATAGCAGGGTACGGCTCGCCAATGACGCTATGCTCGGACGCGATGGTCGAGAACACCTGGTCAAGGTAGTCGATCATTCCTGGACGTCGGAGAACCGGCGGATGAGAGGGAGGGACGCGTCGCCATGCGCGGTAGCTCGCGCCCGGGAGTCGAAGAGCATGCGCTACGTACCGGAAGGAGGATCAGCCCGCCGGACGGGGAATAGACGAGAAGAATATCACCCACGATGATCCAGCGGGCGCCGTGGGCCCAGGCCAACCATTCGGTAGGACTGTCAGCGACAAGACGCGGCTCGACGACTCGTTCATCCCGGAGGAGAGCGAGAAGACGGTAGAAGCGAGTGGAGTAGACGATGGCGGAGGGATTGGGTGGGGCATCGGACGGCATGGCACTGGACGGGAGACGGTAAAGGAAGGGAAGGAGGGGGCTTAAGAGGGACCGGAGGGAACGGGTGAGTACGGAGAAGGGTGCCAGCGAGGCGGGGGCGTGGGATAGCGAGCCGGAGGGGACATAAGGGAGGGAGCCGGGGACCGGACGGGGGGAGATCCTACCTACCTACCACCTAGGAGTAGAGAGCGAGCTCAACGGCGATTCCCTGCGTTTCTGACTGCGTCCTGCGTTTACTGCGTTTACTGCGTTGCGAATAGATCACTGCGTTCACCTTCAACGAGCACCGCGTTTCCTTCCGGCTCTCTGCGTTTTATCCGGCTTCAACGAGTTTCTACGCGTTCACTCTGAGTCCCTGCGTTGTGGGACGACTCCACCACTCTCCTCCGACCGCGTTACAGTGTCCCCTGCGAGTATCCGAGCTCGTACGTCCCCTCCGGGCCCGAATCGTCACATCCCCTCCCCATCCGCTTGCCAACAGCCCCCGCCCGTCGTTTCTACCGACACCATCGATTCCTTCCGGTCTCTTTTCGACCCGGGAGACTCGCAACCTACACAACGCGCAGCCCGCAAACAACCGGCCCCAAAAGCAGCCGCGTCGGCCTCTAAGTGGTACTCCTGGACAGAGGTGCTGGAGGACGCGCCCTCCCTAGCATTCTATTCGGCTCACCAGACAACGGACACGGTGGAGTCGCGCACGGGCGCAGCAGTACAGACGCGGAGTCGAACAGCAGCGCAGCGCGGCCAAGTGGGATCGCCCGCAACACAGCACGAACAAACGGAGGCGCCGGCGAATCGGACTGGGAGCAAGACAGCGGAGGCGCCCGCATCGCGCCGGCAGAGGGTACGCAAGAACGCAGAACCCGCTGAACGCCCGGAGGAGAGAACAACGGACAGGAGGACGGCACCCAAGCCGCAGCGCGATTCCGAACCCAGAGACTGGGAGAACGCACCGTACACCATCCTCCTCGAGCTCAGCGAAACGCTGGCACAACGCTTCGTCGAAGGCTACCAGAAGGACTCGTTCTTCAAGGACAAGTGGGCCAAGGCGTCGCAATCGGAGCTCGTCGCATTTAAAGGACAATGCTTCACCACGGACGTACGCGGACTCTTATACATGCGAATCAATGACGAGCCAGCGAAGCTATGCGTTCCAAAGGAACTGACGCCCACCATACTGTCCAGCGTACACGACTCCCCCCTCGCATCAGCTCACGAGGGAGCGCGCAAACTCACCAAGAAACTGGGCCTTCGTTTCTACTGGCCGACGATGAGACGCGACGCGGAAGCATATGCGCGTTCTTGCGACGTCTGCCAAAAGACCAAGGTTGACCGACGAGCGCCAGCAGGAACGTTACGGCCAAACCCAATACCTCAACGACCGTATCAATGGGTGTCAATGGACCTCATAACAGGCCTCCCAGATTCGGACGGCTTCAATGCCATCTTCGTCACAGTATGCCGCCTCACGAAGCACGTACAATGCATCCCATGTCGGAGCTCACTGGACACCGTCCAGTTCGCTCAACTATTCGTCGACAATGTGATCCTGCGCTTCGGCACCCCCGAGCACATCATCAGCGACAGGGATCCACGTTGGACCTCGGAGTTCTGGAGGGCAGTGGCTCGACGACTGAATGTTCACCTCAGTCTTTCATCAGCGCATCATCCACAGCACGATGGCCAGACAGAAATCGTCAACCAAACGATCGAAACGATGCTCCGCGCCTACGTGCACACGGACCGCCAGAGCTGGGCGCGTTGGCTACCACTGGTCTGTCACGCCTACAATTCCTCGGTTCACTCAGCCACCGGTCAATCACCCTTCTTCCTACTATATGGCATGGAACCCACACAGGACCTCGACTTCTTGTCACGCAACACCCCACACGTGGAACGCCCACGGGGCCCTTTTGACCACGCACAAAACTTCCTGTTTGACATGCAAGAGCATCGCGAGAAGGCGCGAGCAGCGTTAGCGCAGGCACAGGAGCAGATGGCTCGCGCGTACAACAACGGGCGCCGCGTAGAACAGTTCGAGGTCGGATCAAAGGTGCTGGTAAATCCACACAGTCTGGAACTAGTCGACGTGCAAGGGACAGGGAAGAAACTCGTGCAACGGATGTTGGGACCCTTCGAAGTCCAGGAGCGTGTCAACCCCATGGTTTACAAGCTAGCATTGCCAGACACATACCCGATGAATCCGGTCCTAAACATTGAGCACCTCAGGCTCTACCACGAGGACACCGCTGGCCAGTTTGCGTCCATACCTAGACCTACGGTGGCAGACCCGCGCCAATCGGACCTGTTGGCCTCGCAAGAGTGGGAAGTGGAGGACATCATTGGATGGCGTCGTAACAAGCGGCGGCGCAACCGATTGGAGTTCCTGGTTCGTTGGAAAGGCTATGGGCCGACAGAAGATTCCTGGGCGTCCGAGTTTGATCTGCGTAACGCACGGGACATCCTAAGGGACTATCAGGCACACCACCCGACCAGTAGGAACTGACGTAGGACACGCCCTACCCGGTACCACAGGTGATAGCCTAAGGAACGCTCAAACCCTCTCAAGTCTGTCTAGCATGTTAGAGCAGGAGGTGGGCGGGCAGAGCCAGTCAGCCTCCAGCTCAAACATGACGGCAGTCCCAAGTGGCAGCTTTACGTCAGACGGGTCGGTTAGGAGGAAAGGTCCACAGCATCATCTAGCCATCTTGTACGCCGCGTAGCGTAATATATACACACGTGTCCGCTGTAAATCAGACCACTCCAAATGAGCGCCAGAGCAAGCGCCCATGGATATTATATGGCGGGTCACCAACAGAGCAAAGTCCGGCAAACCATCAATCTTTCCCTTGTACGATGCCCCTCAGCCCAACAGCCATTGGAGTCACAATAGGTTGGATTGTCATCATTGTGCTTGTTATCACGGTCATTCCTATCCTATATGCCCGACGTACAGCTCATCTACGAGACACAACCGTATCACCGTCTTTACATACAGAACCATTACCAGTATACTCGATTCCCCTTAATCATATCCCATCCCCAACATACCGTGTCTCCTCTTCTTTCATACCCATCACTCATTTCTCCCTACCATCTACTCTCGATACCCCAGCTACCACGCCAGGCCAACCCGAACCAACAGCCCGAGCAGACTCGCCGACGCTTCCCCAAACCAGCGCGGGCGGCGGGCGGCTATGAGGTCACGCTCAACGAGCGCCCGGAGGCCCGACTTGGCGCGCACACGTCGTCCTCTTCTTCCATCGAACCGTCTTGCTCGCCCATCTACTCTCTAACCATGCCGATCTACGTCCGAGAACATCGCCCGCTCTGGACGCCCCCCGCGGACGCGAAACCAGACAAGGAACGGCAACAGGCGGTGTTTCGGGCTTACCAGACCCACAAAATGGTCACAGCCCATGCAATCGACACGGATGGGGCTCTGCTCATTTCGCCTACCGCCCCGTTCATCCCCTCGCCGCCGTCAACAACGGACACGCCCGTTACTTATGCGGATGGCAGGCTAGGGGAGCACGACTGGACGGAGGTCCCGCAGCCGTACACGGCAGGTATGACTCATCGCGCGTTCGTTCACAGCAGCGCGTCAAGCAACGAGCACGACCCAGTGTACGTTCGCTTGGAAGATGGCGTCAATTTCGACACGGCGGACTATTTCACCCGGAGAGGGCGAGTCAATGGCGACCTCGTGGATGCCCTCCTCGCACTGTACGCCAGCGAGCGTCAAGCCACACGGGACACGTACGTGGTAGGCAGTCCGATGCCTCCGTTGTTTGGACAGGATCAGGAAACCCTCACGACGCTCCTCCGCCTTCGAAGGAGCCCCACGGACCTCGAACACGCTCGCATCGACCTGGCGCGTGTCCAGCGACACATCCTCGACATGCGCAGCCTCACGGCATACCGGACGTTTCAACAGTACTGGGACGCCGGTCTGCTGCAATACCCTCTCCCTAACCAGCGCACGGTAGGGATCTGGCTGGACGACTCGGCCGACGCGTTAGTGCGCCGTAAAAAGCTAATGTACGTGGGAGTGCAGTGCTGGTACCGCACGAACGGAGACGGGATCGAGTGCGCGGGCCTCCAGGTACGCACGGCGCCCCTACCGCAATCTCTGTCCACCGAGTTGTGGGACTGCAACATTCACCACCCCAGCGCGGTCAGCACTCGCGACAACCACCCCCCTAGTCAACATCACCGCCGCCAACCCGAGGCCCCCCCTAGATTGCATCACGAGGGCAGACGGCGGCGGGACAGCCGGTCTCTATCACCCCGGCCCGAGCAACGCCGACGCCGCTCTCCATCCCCCGACCGTCACCGTCGGAGGGATAGCAGAGACGGGAGAACTCGAGGCCGCAGCCAATCAATTGTGCCATTAGCGGCGCGCTTGTCGGACCCGGTAGAGGACCGCCCTCAACCCCGGGGTCGGCGGGACACGCAAAGCCAGCACCGCGACCGCAGTAAATCCCCTGTACGCATCAGTGACGAGCACAGGTCGCTCCTGCAACGCCTCAACCTGCGTCAGGACCAAGGTTGGAGCGCGCCAACCACTACTCGAGTCGGAACGGTCAACACGCACCTGGCAAGTCGAGCACCACCGCCCAGCGACGCCGAGCTCTACTCGCATAAACCGGAAGGGCCGTACCTATGGGGAGCACCGGATCGGGACGTCACGTTCTTACGTCCGGGCTCTACGCCGTCGGAGGTCGTCACGGATGATCAAGGCTACCCGTGCCGCACCTCTATTCCGATACGATCAGGACTGGAGGTCTTCCTCTTCCTGTCCACACCTTTCGAGATCGACACCCGCGTGAAGCCCCTGCGCCTGCCATGGGAGACGGACGACGGCCCCGCACCGGTCATTACGCCTGTCGACAAGTACCCCGTCCCGCCGCCGGACATTCTGCGAGATGGCAAGCTGGCGGTGATGCGCGCCCTGCTCTGGGACAGTAGGCAGTACAAGTACATCGAGCAGCTCCGGGAAGTCAAGCCGGAAGACGCCGATGAAAAATGGCGCACCGCTGCGAAATGGGGCGACCGTCTCAAGCCAGGCGCCGACTATATGTCGCAGGTGAAAGGACTGGACACCGTAGTCAACGAGGTCGCGATGGAGAAATGTGGCATCCATCCAGTCCCCGTCGAACGCCGCAAAGCCAACCTTTGGGAGCTCGACACGTTCCTCTTCCGCACCGACTTCGAGCGACTCACGGCGCACATGCACAAGGGACTCAGAGAGGCACCAACACGGGACCGCCCGCGGGTGTGGGCACGCGTCCGCGACAGCGTTCGCAGGGTGTTATGGGGCGTCGAGCTGGACTACTACCCCGATAGCCGGGAATCCGCGTTCCTCGACAGCACGGACGACCTCTATCGCCTCCGCTATTGGCGGGCGGTCGCACGCATCATGGAGAGCTGGGACCTATCCGCTCCAATGCTGACGCGCATACGATCCACGACGGGGGGCTCTGTGAGGGAGCTGGAGTACCAGCTCGTCACGATGTTCCGAGCGGTCCACCGAGAGGAGTTGGGTCGTGAACCGTATGTTTTCAGGCATCGTAGCGCCCTCGGGCTTATGTAAGCAAGCATATAGCGTAGGCGTAGCATCGTGGGAAATACATCTTCTTTCGCATTGTCTTTCCTTTTCTCTCTGCTAGGCTGGTCTCGGTTCCCCGCGCTGACCGGCTACGGCTGCTCGCCCGCGCTGTACATAGGTGAGAGTCCTACCTCTGCAGGTCCGCTCCCGGTAGCCAGCCTCGCGAGGACGCGACCCGAGGCCGAGCAAGCTCGCCCTCCTGGTCGTCGCCGAACCGCGACTCGCTAAGAGTCCCGCTTCACGCTCCTCCCTGCCCCGCTGGATCGCCAGCTTCCAGGGTCCCGAGGAGCACTGTTCGCCCGACGGGCATCCCGGCACGTCCCGACCTGCCTCGGGCTTCACACCCCTGACCTCGGTCTAGACCATGTTGATACTTTTTGTGAATGCCAACTGCTGCGGTTAGACGATACATATTAGATAGTACTATGGATGTCTCCATAAACCGCACCAGATCTAGGTTTGCAATTGCTTGCCGGGATCGCTCCAACAACTCGGCTCCAGCAACTCAGACGTAGCACGAGAGAAGACTTCCAGAACACGGAACAGCTACCGCAACGTCGCGTGTGATCCACCATAGAATAGGCACCGGGATCTACAGGTCAACCTTCGCTGACTACAGAGTACGAGTACCGAAGAACAATATTATGACTCACCTCGAGAGTTAGAGCGTCCCGGAAGCTTGCTGAGCATCTACTCCAAATGGATGATGTGATCTCCCATATACAATCAAGGGCGGTACGGGGAATGCAGCGAGACTCGTGGATAGAAGACATGAGGCGCAGAGAATGGGTCGCCACCTCGAGTTCTGTGCGGAACACACTCTGCGAGCGGTGCCTAGATGCATGGTGCCCAAATATGACAAACCCTCATGCACCCTCTATTCGGAGATCTGTGTATTTTATGATGCAGTGGCGCCAGTTAGAAGAGACGGAATAGGGGACGAAGAGAGTGAGGCGTACTAGGGTAATGACATGCCAGTGTGGCGCATGAAACGTGTATTCACGACATGGCATCAGCGAAAGCCGAGTACGCTAACGGCGTACACAGACTAGCGGATACATCGCCTGACTCCTCAGCTGCTGTACGTGTGAAGTGGGTCAGCCGAACCAATTCTAGAGGCTGTGATCTGGGTACTCACGTACTAGTGTGTCCACGAAGCTTTCGGCGCCCAGACGTCTAGCATCGCATACATACTGTAGCAGCTAAGGCAGTTTGAGAGTATATGTTTTGGAGTATATCTGGAATGGTCAATGGCAAAGCGAGGCTGAGGGGAAGAACCGTGATTGTGTTAAACAGGGCATCTTAGACTACTCAGATCACCTGTCAGAAGCCGTTTCCATGATCATAGTTCCGCAACCGAGTCATTCCATACCTCAAAGTATCGATACAATTTATTGTCGCCGATTTATGTGGACGCGTCACTGGAAGCTAGAATCACCATCCGGCGACAACATGTCACGTCAGCTCAAGCTCTGCGCCGACCATCTGGGGTGATGGATGAGTATCGGTATTCTCACCAGAGTCAGTGTTGCATACAGTGAGCTAGACTTGATATGGCATTTCAAGCCTCAAGACAACTGAGAGACAGGTAGCCAAACTTGTTCTAGTCCGGCGGAAGTCCGAAGTTCAGGATTGACAGCGGCGGCGTGAGCCTATCAACCCAGTTCACCACTTCAACGCGATGGCGAGGGAGGTTCGAGTGACAGAATTGTACCGAGGTAAATGCCCTTGCATTTCATCGAGTGAACTCGTACACGTAGCGGCCTGGTACAGACGCTACTTGGACGCTACGGCCCCGCCACTTGGTACTGTACTAGCACGTGACATACTTACATGGTAGACGGGCGTTTCGCGGCAACTCTGCGCAGCGGCATAGCGATTCCGGACCACCACCATTATTTCTGGCGTTATCACCATGTTCGTCGTGCGTCACGCATTCCTCTGGGTTCGAGTCCTGCCCTCCTTATCGCGGACACAAGGCTGAGGTCGTTATTTGCGATCCATGTCCCCTCCAACACTCGCAGTCGTCGCCGCAGGCGCAATGGGCGCCGCGGTCGCGCGAAGGCTCACGACCGCAGGCTGCACGGTGCTCACCAACCTCGAAGGGCGCTCGCAGGCCACCCGCGAACGCGCGGCCTCAGCAGGCATGCTCGACGTCCCCATGCCAGAACTCGCCGCGCGTTCGCAGTGGGTCCTCAGCATCCTCCCGCCGAGCGACGCGCTCGCGTTCGCGGCGCGCTACAAGGACGTCGCACCCGCGCAGTCGAAGTTTCGACTGGCCTTCGCGGACTGCAACGCGGTGAGCCCGGAGACGGTGAAGAAGATCGCGGCACTGTTTGATGGGAGTGGGATTGGCTTTGTCGACGCTGGGATCATCGGCGGGCCGCCGAAGGAGGGGTACGACCCTGTGTTCTATGCGTCGGCCGCCCCGGAGGATAGCGCCCTGCTTGACGAGTTTTCTGGATTATCCAGTATGGTCTGAAGGTCTCCCCGCTGAGAGGTGAGGGAGCTGGAGTGGGTGATGCGAGCGCGCTCAAGATGTCGTACGCGGTAAGAGGTCGTCACTGTTATCATATCCGCTCAACACCCATCATGCGGGCCAGGGCATCTCCAAGGGCATCATAGGCCTCACCACGACTATGATCCTCGGTGGGTAGAAGCAGTTCGTCCCTCCGTTCGTCATGCTCAGCGACGGTTAGCTGCACACGCGTCGTCGCCCGCGACCGCCCAAGCGCTGGTGCACGAGCTGCACTCATCACAGCCACAAGTCCTGCAGCGGATCACGACCAGCGTTCCCGCGATGCTCCCAAAAGCGTACCGCTGGGTCGGCGAGATGGAGGAGATCTCCTCGTTCGTCGGCGATGGCGAAGGTCAGATTCACCAAGGCCTCGCGCGACTGTACGAGCGAGTCGAGCGCTCGTTGAAAGAGGAGAAGGAGGGCGGGCCAGCGGAAGATGTCAAAGTCCTGAGGAGCTTCGTGGACGATGCGAAAGCGGTCATTGGTGGACAGAAGTGATGCGCGACTATTCCTACCTCTTTCATCGTCGTAGTCGTTCTGTTGATGTTGTGAGTCTACAGCGCGAGAGTTCAGCCATCATGCGCTTTCAGTCATTATGCATGTCCTCGCCGTCCCAGAGGAAAGGATGGTTTGTGATACTATGATGGAACATTGCAGGGCTATGTCTGTGGGTTAGACACTAGAAGATCTTGTCAGACACTGGACGTGCCATCGAATCTCGGTCGGATATCGCAGTCGATCCATTCGAGGCACAAGGGCCGTTTCGTCTCATGACCGTGATTGTGCCCCATCTGACCATGCGATGCTGACGTTCACAGGATGACAACCGATCGACACGCGCTTTCGCCGTCTCGATTGCGTACTACACTCGGCGTACACTCGGCGAGGCCCCGTATTACCCAGCCAATGTCAAGCTTCAAAGCTTCAAGCTTTCAACTTCAAGAGCTTCAAGCTCGAGCCGTGCAGACACGTCTGCCCCGCTCGCGACTCCGTGCGGTACGATCGGTCAGTATATGGAGCTGACATCGGGCGGACACTCCCCGCTCCGTTGATGGCAATGCATAACTATGTTCATGTAGTCTTCGTAGCAGACCATAAAAGCCGACAAGCGTCTATATGTTCATGAATCATATCCCGGTTGATGATTATTAACATGCCATGGCTCGGAGTATATAACTCTTGCATCGCAGAATCCACAAGTTCTCCATCAAATCACAAGGTTCCATAACAAACACTTCTCCTCGACGCCATGTCCGAACACCGAGCACTCTATCTTCCCGAGAAACAAGCTCCCTTCGTCGTCAGGTCTGTACCTACGTACAAGCCTGGCCCGGGAGAGCTCCTGATCAAGGTCGAGGCCGCGGGGCTGGCGCCGGCTGACTGGGCAATCCAAGCTATGGGGATCCTCGTCGAGAAGTATCCAGCTATTATCGGCTTCGATGCTGCGGGTACCGTTGAGGAGGTCGGCGAGGGCGTCACGAAGTTCCAGAAGGGCGATAGAGTGTACGGCGCATTTTCCCTTACGCTACATGTAGACTAACAATCCCGTGGATCATTCGATCAACCCGCAGGTTACAGCAATGCGCGTTCGGAGATGATCGGTGCGCTGGCTTCCAGCAGTACGCCCTCACGTCCGAGGACACGACTGCAAAGGTACCGGATAGTGCATCATCTACAAGGAGTGACTGACTGACCTGTTCTTAGATCCCCGACGACATCACCTTTGACCAAGCCGCCACGATCCCTCTCGCCCTGGCGACCTCCGCCGTGGCGCTATACCATGATGGAGTGAACGTAATCGGCGGTACGTGCGGCCTGACGCCTCCTTGGGAAGAAGGTGGCCGCGGCAAGTACCAAGGGCAGCCTACGGTCGTCTTCAGCGGCGCCAGCACCGTCGGACAAATGAGTAAGACAACCCTTAGGCCGTGCGTATCACAAGCACAGCTAACCGCCGCTGCGTAGCCATCCAGCTGCTCAAGCTCTCCGGCTTCAGCCCTATAATCGCTACAGCCTCCCTCAGCAACGCCTCGTTCCTCAAGTCCCTCGGCGCCACACACGTCCTCGACCGCAGGCTCTCCCCCGCCGCGCTCCAAGCGGAGATCCGGAAGATAACCCCGGAGCCGTTCAAGACCATCTTCGACGCCGCCGGCGCGGAAGAGACGCAGAACCTCGGCTACGACCTCCTCGCGCCGGGCGGGGTCCTTGCGTCGGTGCAGCACGACCTGGTGGCTCCGGAGAAGAAGGTGCCCGAGAAGACGAACTTCTTCATGTTCGGCGACGTGCATATCCCGCAGAACCGCAAGCTCGGCGCGAGCCTGTACTCGAAGCTGACGGAGCTGCTCGCCGAGGGCGCGCTGAAGGTATGTGCTCGGTTGTCCAGGTCGGCGACTGCGCTGACGAGGTGGTGTTTAGCCGGTGCCCGTTGAGGTCGTTCCCGGCGGCTTGGAGGGAATACCTGCAGGGGTGGAGAAGGTCGGAAAGGGCGTAAGTTGCGTAAAGCTCGTGGCTCATCCGCAAGAGAACGTATAGAGTGTATAGATATGTTGTACAGAACCCACGATTATGAGAAGTCCAGCTACCTGTATGAAGAATGTAAATTCACTGTGGCGTATCCCTGTGGCGTCTTGTTATAGGTGGTCGGCTATGGTCGATGTACGTCGGATGCAACGTGAGCGGCCTGATTCAGGAGGCACCAGCGTGTTCTCTTGTCCTTTCGGACACTGACGGTGACGGTACCGGGCGCTCGACTCAACCACTAAGTGCTACGGGTCGTGGTCCGTAGAAGTCTCGCGAATGCCATTCGCACAAACATCTCCTCAGATCTGACATGCCTTTGTAGGCGACCACTTGTGGTTTCATCGCAGCAGCCACGGTTTGGGGAATTGGAATGGGGAGAATATATTCGCAAGCGCAGTCACGTTCAATGTCGTAAATGTTACAAAGCCTACTAAGCTCAAGTCATATCCAGAAAAATAGAGCCTCTGGACTAGGGTTCCTTCTATGTGTGGCGCACTTACACCGGATGCGCGCTCACAGCTGTGCTGAAGTGCGTTGTTCAGCCGTCGGACGATGCACGGTAAGACCAAAGCACTCACTTTGCGCTAACCGGCGTACACTCCTTGTCATTGTAAATGCCCTTCTGTTCGTCGCCAAATTGAAGCTTGAGCTTCCGCTGCAGAAATCAGGTTGGCGTCAATGCGCGGAGCGGTATTGCCGGCAAAGTACACACCCCGGTCCTACTTTCGATAGGCGTGACGAGCACACCCACACCAGTGGTCCCGTCGGACAGAGTGACTCTGTACTTGCCCTGCAGAGTGACATTGCCCTATGAGCCGCGCACAGATGATGTGACAAGTATCCTACCGCGATATTGGCGGTCGGTATGGCCCCGCTACCATCGCCGCCTAGGGGCTGCTGATAGCGGTTGGCGTTTCCGGAGTTGAACTGAAGGCAGCCCTCAGTCAGTAGCGCATACAGGTAAGAAGAGAGTAAAGATCGTACCATTGGTCGAGCTGATGGTACTGCTTGTGAGACAAGAGAGAGGATGGACACGGAGGAGAAACGACGTTGCATACGTGCGCTTTATACCTGTCTGCGGTATCGCGAGAAGGTTCGAGTCCAGAGCCCCACGACTGCGAGTCAGAGCATACCGGACTCAATACACTGCCAGGCTTCATACGGCGAGTGTTATTTGCGCTGCAGAAGCTTGAGAAGCCCGACGCCACACTTAGGAGCGGGTGCTAGTATCTGAGGTCGACGACTTCTTTTGAGGAGAGGACACAGCTTCTGGGCGGTGGTTCCACATACCATACGAGAACTAGTACAACTTGGGCACCCTCAGTCAGAATCCCAGTGGATGGCTGACGGAGAACATAACTATCGCCCAACAACCACGGTAACAGTGACATCTGCGATGATGGACAAGCCAACTGCCACAAGAGACGTCCTTCGTGATGTGATGCAATCATGCAACAAACCTACTTCGGGGCCGAACATCAAACATGTGTGCCATTGGTGCAGCACCCACGACTCCAAGTTGATATGACCAAAGTACAATACAAACCAATGGAGATGTGCAAACTACGACGAATTTGACCATACGCCCGTAGAATCACAGGTTCGGCAAGGGCTTTAACAAGCGGGGCTGAATCAAAAGATCTATGGGCGGTATCCTGTGGACAATCGCTGCCAGTTTGTCACGAGCCTCCGCCGCAGTCGGTCGCAGAGATACATCCAGTGAAAACATCTCCGCAAGGATTTCATCGATATCGGAGACGGTGGTCTGATCCATGTTTGTCATCGTGCAAGCACGGAACACAAGCACCGAGTGACGCACCCTGAAGTCCGAGAAGCTTTCGGCAAGTTGCCATATGTCGGCTTTGAAGGGGTCGTATGGTTCTCCAGAAGTCATTTCGGGCGGGGCTGGACGTTGGTAATCCTCGACCGGGGACCCGGTCAGCAAGCGGTCGTCAGAAGAGAGTTCCGTAGGGAACTCGTGGGCCATCTCAAAGTCGGTCAGAAATGCGCGTGGGCGGGAAAGGGGGACCTTCATAGTCGATAGAGACTCCGGATGCCACTGAACGACATAATTTGATTTGCATAAGTCCTTTGCGTTTGTCAGAATATGTAGATGTTGACTGAAGTGACATCATACCCTGTGTACTATGCCAAGGCTATGGACGAAGGCAATCGCCTATGAGCACATCTTAGTGATTTCGGCCGAAACAGGAGAATAATGACACTCACTTCGAGTGCTTGTACGATCATATCGACTATGTCCCCGACAGCGTTCTTCGGCCAACCGCCATAGCATTCATCCATACTGTGACCAATGTATGGCGATATCACGAAGATTACGTCCTCAAGCCGTGCCTCACCCCAGAGAGGGACAACATGATTCTCCGTCAATAGACAGGTTGCGCCACGCGCGAGCTTGCGTAAGATGCCTAGGTGTTTTCTGCCTTGGTCCCCGATAACTGCGACTCGAATGACCACATTGAGTCCACCCATAGTCGAGCCACCCCGAGTAAGCTCATTCTGTGAATCATTATTGAGTGCCAATTGGGCTCTTTGTGACGCGACTTACATGACAGTAGAGTTTTTGGATGTTGCTAGACCATGCCTCGCCGCGCGTCGGAGTAACATACGCAAACCCATTGGAGCGAATTATCTGTTGTGGGCTAGCTCTTGAGCTGGCTCCGTTGTATGACCACAAAATTACGCCGGCATCATAGAGAGTAGGTCGGACAGCCTCCCATACAGGGATGCTATCTTCAAGCAGACGCCATGTTTCTAGGTCGCGGGGCAGCTTGATACTAAACTTAGTAATACGAGCTTAATAGACATTGCTTTCAACATACAGTGTCCCGAGTACTCCGAATACGGTGTCCTTTACGACTCCGAGACAGGAAGAGTTGTAGAGTCACAGCTGCCGTGGCGAGGCCAGCAAGCGCGACTGTGGCGGAGCAAATTCTACTGCAAGATGGTATCATGCTCCGGGTATGTAAGTGATGCGTTGGCAGTAAATAGAGTTGAGGGTGTCAGGGCTCGAGAGGTATGCCGACTCTGACAAGAGTCAAGACCAAGCACTCGCCCCGCGACAACCGGCTGAAACGCCCAGAAGCGGTGGTTTGGATCACGTGATCGTGTTCATGAGAATCCCGAAAACGCCGCTTTCTAAGTTAATAGTAGACTACGAGAGGGGGCTCTTACTGGATTACCTTACGAGACAGCTTGGTGCAAATCGCGTGGACTCAATTGAGTAAGAGGAGGACTTAGGGCAATGATCAGCTAGCACGCTCACCGTGGGGCCCTGCAGTACTAGTGGGGAACGCGTGATGTTCAACAATTATCGGACAGCGGGTGAGCGGGAAAAACACATTCGTGTGTGCATAACATCACAGGTAATCGTACATTCGTGCATTCAATTGGTTACAGGACGCAGTGACTCAGGCTTCACGTAATGAATACTGCACAGTAGCCTCACGGTGCCTCTGCGACAGCGGTTGTCTACTTTCACGCAGGAGCTGCGCCCAAAGGAGTGCTGAAAAGCATCGCTCAGCCGTAACATCAAGTATTGGAGTATAGATGACGACCTACCCGTTAGACACCATCTCGCATTGAGCTGTATGATATGCCTTCGTCTGTTCATTAGCGAACTGCAGTACGAGCTTCGGCTACACATAGGAGCATCAATGTTATCGCAGCTGTTCATGACACTGATATTTTTGGAAAACACGTACTCCGGTCGCGCTCTCAATGCTGTTGACAAGCACACCGACACTTGAGACCCCAAAGTTGTGCGCCCTGTACTTGCCCTGGTAAAAACATTCTCAGCACGTACAGGAGCCGCGGAAAGCATGCATCTTACAGCGACTGTGGCGGACAGCGGAGTTCCTCTAGTGTTACCTCCCAGAGGAGCTGTATAGTCACGATATTGGCTGTTGGCCGGCTGAAGGCAGCGATCGGTAAGTAGTGATTTACAGGAAGGAATGGTAGTGAAGAACATACCATCTCAATAGCTACTGTGAACGCTAGTTGCGGTGATGGAGGAGAGAGGCTGATGGGGAGAAAGTATCCTCAGCGCGCACCTTTATGTGGTCTCGCGAGGGCCTTGAGACTACAACCTGACGTGAGTCGACGTGTACATGGCAAACGCCACTGAGAGAAATCGTGCGAGATCCGATATCAAACGAGGAGCAGAAGAAGCAGACGGAGGCGATTTGGTGACTGCTCGCGCCCACCGTACTTGGGCGGTGATTTCCACGCATCTTAACAAGGAGACCAGTACAAATCGAGCGTAGGTGAGTCACTACGCACCATCAAGAGGTTCCTAGCACGGTACCAGTGCTGCCCCGGCGCCACAGCTAGTCAAATGAAGACGACAGCAAATTTCTTGACTGACGCTCGATACGAGCACAATGGTTCAGACCGAGACAAGTTCCTTCTAAGTCAATTTATAGCGATAATATACAAGACTTCGCATAGATGAACACATACAAAATCACCGTCCGAAGGGAGCTCGTTTTAACAGTACGGGGGAAATCAGGAGAGAGACCGGGGGAATGTTATGAACCACCGCAGCTAGTTTATCACGAGCTTCCACAGCAGACAGTCTCAGAGCGACGTTCGGTTCAAGCATCTGCTCAAGGACTGCATCGATGTCAGGGATCGTCGCCTAACAAATGTTATTCGATGCGCATAGTAGAGTATGGGGCACACGACATACCCTGAAATCCGCAAAACTCTCTGCAAGCTGCCACACATCAGCCTTGAATGGGTCGTACAACGCCCCACAAGCCATCTCTGGCGGTACGGGACGTCGGTAATCCTTGATAGGGAGACCGGATAACAGGCGTTGTTCCGAAGGGACGTCAGGGTGAAATTCGTAGGCCGTCTCGAAATCTGTGAGGAATACGCGCGGTCGGTTTAATGGCACCCGCATGGACTTCAAGGATTCCGGATGCCATTGGACGACGTAGTTTGCTTTACACAGATCCTATGTCGTTGTGAGCCGGATGAACCCATGGACGAGACGAGCCGCATACTCTATGCACTATTCCGAGGTCGTGGACGAAAACAATCGCCTGGTACATAGGTTGAGTCTTACGCAGCAGTGACAATGTGTCATAATCTTGAACTCACCTCCAGTGCCTGTAGAATCATATCAATTATGTCCCCGACGGAGTTTTTTGCCCACTGTCCATAACACTCAGCCATGGAATGGGCTACGAATGGCGAGACGGTGAAGACAATGTCCTCGAATTGAACCTCTTGCCAAAGTGGCACAACGTGATTGTCCATGAACAGACTTCTCGTTCCACGCGCCAGCTTGCGCAAGATTTCTAGATGCCTCTTCCCTTCTTCTCCCATCGCTGCGACACGTACGACTGCATGTAGCCCATCCCCAGTTGTTCCACCACGTGTGAGCTCGTTCTGTCTCAAAACGCTTAGCCGAATGCGTATCAATGGCTGAAGAATCTTACGTGACAATAGAATTCTTGCAGGTTTCGCAGCCATGCCTCCCCACGCGTCGGCGTAAGGTATGCGAATCCATTAGGAAGTATGACGTGTTGTGGATCAGCTCTTGACGAGGAACCACCAGACGACCATAGGTAGATGCCAGCATTATGGAAAGCGGGTCGTACGGCCTCCCAGACGCGCTGAGCTTCTTCGACACTGTCGATCAAGCGCCATGTGTTTAGGTCGCGAGGTAACTGGAATTCAAACGTTCAAGGCTGGGTTACTTTATCGAAGACCCCAGTAAACGCGTTTCAAAAACGTACTGTGACGCGTACACTGCCCGTACTTTGGACGCCACGCTTCGCGCCATTCCGGAATAGGATAACTCGCACAGTCGCAGCTGCTGTGGCGAGGCCCGCCAACGCAATCGCAGGGGTCCATAGTCTGTCATACGATAGCGACATGTTCAGGTGTATGCACAAAGCGTACTAGTAGCTGTATGAAAGCCTTGGAGTTGACGGTATGATGAGTGAGCCGACAAGTCGAACGGCGAACGTGTTGAACAGAGTGGTTTAGGGCGCCTACCACTCGTGAGAGCGTGGCCTATCATGTGATCGCGTCAGACCGCCTAAGCGCAAAGCGCAGCGGGGCCGACTCCAGAAATTTAAAGTCGGAATCTGAGTCTCTGAGAACTCACGCATCGCACGCAGCAAACACACATTCACAAAAATTAACTTGGTCCAGATTGAGCTAATGAGAGATAAGTAACACAGTTCAGCCCCACGATGCTTCAACGGCCCCGAAGACTACCGTTGATGCCTTGACACGCGCACACGATGCACGAACGACAGTGATGCATTGCTGATGAATCGAACACCGGCCCATTTACACGTACTTACCTTGGCAGGAGAAGGAATACCGCTGTAACGGAGAATGTCGCAGCGTGTATCCCCATCAGTATATCTCGGCCTCAGTGCAGGTACACATGCACTTATCATTTCCTGTAGAGCGGTCAGATTGCGAGCGAACGATCAAGTGGTCAAACCATGACTCAACTTGACTTCAGAGAAGCTCTCAGTAAGCCGCCACACGTTGACAGCCCGTGGACGACCGCACGCATCCGAGTATCAAGATCGCCGCGAAGGTTTGAGTGTTGCTCGACGGAAGAGTTATCGCTGCATCAAGCTCTCTGGCTACACCACTTGGGCATGCACGGAGAAAACTTGAGGAGCGCCACATGGTCGCTCCTGGTTTCGGAGAGCGTTGATGACACACTAGCAGTGTCCGATGTTCGTGTATGAGTTTCCGGGTGATTTGTGTCGTGGCGCCGACAGACCTGCGAATACAAGTAGTCATGGTGAAGCATGAACATTTGTGGAATATCTACGTGTGATCGGCGACGAATTCTGTGCCGCTTGATCCTAGATTCTGTGCATATTGACGGTGGTCAACCAGGACTGCATGCTTGACATAAGCCACTGAATGTGTTGTACGCACCCGATGGTCGAGAGCCCGGACCTCGATGACAGTATCCATCGATGATACACCTCACGCCCGTTTCGGATATCGGATATTGGTGAAGTGTGCACCGCGCCCAATATCGTCACACTGATTCGTACATGACGTACGTCGACGTCCAGTCCCGCAAAGTATACAGTAGTCAGCGCGGTCTGTTCGGGCAGAATCCACTGCGATAGGACATTTACCCGCACGCCTGGCACTCCAACCTCTCTATACAAGCAATAGACCCCATCCGCGCCGAAAATCGGTGCAAGAAATCGACATCGGTAGCCATCTGCATAGTACTTCACGTACCCGCCTGCGTCCCGATCACTGTGACAGTGTGCCGCGTGGAACATACCTCGACCACCTGGGCATACTTGGACAGAGAAGTGGAATTAGAGCCGGCGTGAGTCAGTTCGCTCTTTCTGAAGACCCTGGGAGACACGACATCTTGCATAGGATCTGCTCCATGGGGCGGTGCCACAGCAGGGAAGCCAAATGTCTTCTACGACAACAAAGAAGACAGAAGCACATGAACAGCGCGTTTTACGAGTACAACTCCAGACCACTTTCTTCAGGTAAACTGCGTCGTGGTCCTGGATCATATACGTGCATTAGCAAGACAAGAATCATTGCACGCACCTGCCTCACCGCACTATAGCACACGCTACTAGATCTAAGCCAAGCTCGGCGAATCGAACAGTCATTCTGAGTTCAAATTCGCCGGCCGCACTGAGCGTGACGCCACCCCAAGTCCAGCAATTTGAGGACAACAAGACTAGTAGTCCGATTGAGACCTGGGTTCTCATTTGGCGCGCAAGAAGGGGTGGAACCTCCGAGTGACACTCGTGCAACGTACCCATACCTGCGGGTATTGGCCAGCAGAAGGGCACAATGCCAACTCGCGCATGTTGACATGTGCCACGCTCACCTCATCCTCTATCGGCTGCGTGACCATAGACTCATCGGTGAGGAGATCGGTATTTTTATGGGTAGAATTGGACGACATACGGGTTGCGAGTCACACTCGCCTGGATGACTACACGCTTCGAAGTGGGCAGCTCATCACAGTGATCGCGAGACGCGGTCACGTGGCGCACGCGCGGTGAGGCGGCGCTTATGGCTTCTGTGTTCGACTTCTGAGTCCGAATCCACCTTACCTTACTACCTCGAACCAACGAACCACCTCTCCTTGACGCATACAGCTGTTGACGGGAATTATCTAACTCTGACCTTTCTTGTACTCGTATAGAGGTAAGGTCTCATGTATCGCTACTGTGACAGCCACCTTCACAGTCACGTAACTTAGCAGAGGACAACATATGCAAGGCAACGGTGGTGTACGCGAGACAGTGAGCTATATACTAAATAAATTACTGGTGGTGATTGATTGATTGGCTTGGCTAACAGTTGCCTCGCGACTTGAACTCGTGGCGCTCGCTCGAAACTAAGGAAGAATGGCGCTATGTTTGGGAGGCCGTCCGACCCACTTTCCATGACGCCGGCATTTACGTGTGGCCATTCGACAGGCTCTACGCAAGAGCTGACACTCGAAACCCAATGCGATCCAATGGGTTTGCCTACGTCACCTCAATGCGTGGAGAATCTTGGACAGACCTTCTTCAGAAGTTTACTTGTCATGTACGTTTGTTGCGCGATCAGCTATATTTGCTAATTACCTGGCTACAGAACGAGCTTACGCGCGCCGGATCGACCTTGAATGGGGTGCATGTCGTTATACGTGTAGTTGCAATGGGGGACGAAGGGAAGCGCCACCTCGAGATCCTGCGCAAACTAGCTCAGGGCCCACGGAGCATGTTCGCCGAGAATCACATTGTCCCTTGTGGCAAGAAGTCGAATTCGAGGACATCACTTTTACCGTCTCGCCGTTCGTGGCCGATAATATGCGTGACTGCTACGGATTCTGGGCGAAGAACTCTGTCGGCGACATAGTCGATATGATTTTGCAAGCGTTGGAGGTGAATCCGTAACTTGATGCACAGTTTTCTCAGTCCCGCTCACATAGCATCATAGGCAGTTGCTTTTGTTCATGACCTCGGGATAGTACACAGAGTATGGCGCTCACTTCGTCTGCGTGTTCGTTCTTCTGACAGCGACCTAGGACCTGTGCAAAGCAAATTACCTCATCCAATGGCATCCCGAGTCTCTAGTGGCAATGCGGGTGCCTCTGTCTCGCCCACGTGCACTCCTGACCGATTTTGAGACGGCCCACGAATTCCCTTCGGACCTTCCGCCTCAACAGCGCGTGCTGAGTGGGCTGCCATTAGTCGGCTATCAACGCCCAGTTCCTCCGGAGATGACTTGTGGGAAGCCGTACGACCCGTTCAAAGCAGATATATGGCAGTTGGCGGAGAGCTTTTCTGATTTCCGGGTGGGTCACTTGCAGTCAGTCTGAACACATTTCATTGACCATCACTTAGGCAACGATTCCTGAGATCGATACCATCCTTGAACAGATGCTCGAATTGGACGTCTCTCTGAGATTGTCTGCAGTAGATGCTCGTGACAAACTAGCTGCAATCGTTCATAGTATCCCCCCGAGCGCTCTTTTGATCCCCCCGCTGCTGTTGAAGCCTCCGATCCTTGAAACCTGAAGCTCGAAACGTATCATCATATAGACGGTCTCTTTTTCTAGGTCAAAATCACTTCTCGGCTTATTTATTGAATAGGGCAGGTGCAGTATGGAAGTGTGGGCGCAAGAAGCACCCTGATTTGCAGGTGCGTATAGCTCCGTTGGTAGGAACGGCACAAGGAAATGCGTGTTGGGTGATATGACAAGACATTGCAAAATCAGTACTTGCAGAACTAGGGACAGAATGCTCTGTGCCGAACAGATGTGTTCCGCGAACTCGGTTCATTCGAGGATCATGTCTCTTGATTGCGCCCCCCTGACCACACGATACTGACGTTCGCAGGATGACAATACAACGACATGTACTTCCGCCGTCTCTATTGCGTACTACTCTCGCCGAGCTGTACCCAGCCAAGTCAAGCTCAAGCCCCAAGCATTGTGCAGACACCTGTGCCCCGCTCGCGATTCCGTACGGTGTGATTAATCAGGTGCGTATGAGAATGACATCGGGCGGACACTCCCCGCCCCGTTGACAGTTCATCACTATGTCCATATCGCGGTCGATGGTCATCCGCAGGAACATCCCATGACTCGGAGTATATAACTCTAAAAGCAGAATCCTCGAACTCGCCATCGAATCACAAGACTCCAAACATAATATTCAAGTTCTCCTCGACGCCATGTCCGAACACCGAGCACTCTTTCTTCCCGAGAAACAAGCTCCCTTCGTCGTTAGGTCTGTACCTACGTACAAGCCCGGCCCCGGAGAGCTCTTGATCAAGGTCGAGGCCGCGGCACTGGCACCGGTTGACTGGGCGATCCAATCTATGGGGATCCTCGTCGAGAAGTATCCAGTGATCCTCGGCTTCGATGCTGCAGGTACCGTCGAGGAAGTCGGCGAGGGCGTCACGAAGTTTAAGAAGGGCGATAGAGTGTACGGCGCGATTTCCCTTACGCCACATGTAGACTAACAATTTCGTGGATCAACCCGCAGGTTCCAGCAATGCGAGTTCGGAGATGGCCGCTGTGCTGGCTTCCAGCAGTATGCCCTCACGTCCGAGGACACGACTGCAAAGGTACCGGACAGTGCATCGTCTACAAGGCGTGCCCAACTGACCTGTTCTTAGATCCCCCATTTTATCACCTTTGACCAAGCCGCCACGATCCCTCTCGCTCTGGCGACCTCCGCCATGGCGCTATACCACGATGGAGTGAACGTATTCGGCGGTACGTGTAGCCTGACGCCTCCTTGGGAAGAAGGCGGCCACGGCAAGTACCAAGGGCAGCCCACGATTGTCTTCAGCGGCGCCAGCACCGTCGGCCAAATGAGTAAGACATTCTCCGGGCCGTGCATATCGCAAGCACAGCTGATCGCCGCGTAGCCATCCAGCTACTCAAACTGTCCGGCTTTAGCCCTATTATCACCACAGCCTCCCTGAGCAACGCCTCGTTCCTCAAGTCCCTCGGCGCCACACACGTCCTCGACCGCAAGCTACCCGCCGACGCGCTCCGCGCAGAGATCCGGAAGATCACCCCAGAGCCGTTCAAGACCATCTACGATGCCGTCGGCTCGGAAGAGACACAGAATCTCGGCTACGACCTCCTCGCGCGCGGCGGGGTCCTCGCGGCGGTGGGGCACAACCTGGTAGCGCCGGAGAAGAAGGTGCCCGAGAAGACGAACTTCTCTGTGTGGGGCGACGTGCATATCCCGCAGAACCGCAAGCTCGGCGCGAGCCTGTACTCGAAGCTGACGGAGCTGCTCGCGGAGGGCGCGCTGAAGGTATGTGCTCGGCCGTTTGGTCGGCCGTTGCTGGTGTCTCAGTATTCGGCGGTGGGCTGACGAAGTTGCATGTAGCCAGTCCCGGTTGAGGTCGTCCCCGGCGGCTTGGAGGGAATACCTGCAGGGGTGGAAAAGGTCGGAAAGGGAGTCAGCTGCGTGAAGCTAGTAGCGCATCCACAGGAGGCCGTGTGAGGAGCTGTGTAGCACCAACAGATACTGTAATCGGGAGAGGACATGTCGCGTCGAAGTCCTATCAACGAGCCCAACATGAATCAGCAATTATGTGCACGATATCCCTGTGGCGCCTCTGTCTGTATGGAGTACCAGCCAATGTCTAGTGTCGGTAAATCGGCTCATACGTTGATCCAAACGAGCAAATGTAAGTACTGGGAGCTGAGCCGGTGATTCGCGCATACAACGGCCTGACACTTTCGAGGATGTGGTTAAAAGTCTGGCAGTGGATTCAACAATAATGGCGGGATCAGAAGACCTGTCGGCGGGATGCTGTGTACACCCTCTGCCAATTTGTCACGAGCCTCTGACGCGGACAGCCTCAGGGACGTATCCGGTTCGAACATTTGTGCGAGAACCGCATCAATATCAAGGACGGTGGTCTGACCAGCGTCGGTCAACGAGGAATGCGAGGAACATAAGCCCCGTGCGACGCACCTTGAAGTCGGAGAAACTCTCGGCCAGCTGCCATACATCGGCTTTGTATGGGTCGTACGGTGAACCGGACGCCAACTCAGGAGGGACGGGTCGCTGATAATCCTCGACAGGGGGGCCGGTCAGCAAGTGCTCCTCAACAGGCTGGTCCGGAGGGAACTCGTGCGCCGTCTCGAAATCGGTCAAGAATGCACGTGGTCGGGATAGAGGCACCCGCATAGTCGATAGGGATTCGGGATGCCACTGGACCACATAATTTGCCTTGCATAGATCCTTCGATTCTGTCAGGAGGTGCAGAAGCTTAGAACGTGGGTATCGTACCCTGTGCACTATTCCGAGGCTGTGCACGAAGGCAATTGCCTACCGAATGGTCTTAGCGCACGCATACAGAATTGAGAACACGCGAGGCACTCACTTCGAGTGCCTGTATGATCATATCAACTATATCTCCGACGGAGTTGTTCGCCCAACGCCCATAACATTGATCCATGCTGTAACCAACGTATGGCGAGATTATGAAGATGATGTCGTCCAACTGCACCTCTTTCCAGAGAGGCACAACATGGTTATTCGTCATCAAACTGATCGTGCCGCGGGCCAACTTGCGCAGAATTTCCACATGCTTTTTACCCTCGTTTCCTATGGCCGCAACGCGAATCACCACATTCAGCCCACCTGTAGTCGATCCTCCCCAGGTCAGCTCATTCTGTCGTGCATTGCATACTGAGTGAATACATGAAACTTTCTACACCGAGACTCACATGGCAATTGAACCTCCTGAGGTTTTGAGACCATGCTTCGCCACGGACTGGTGTTACGTAGGCAAATCCATTCGATACATCGGTCTGTTCCGGATTAGCTCTTGAGCTGGCTCCGTCGTATGTCCACAGACAGATGCCAGCGTCATGAAGAGTGGGCCGGACGGCCTCCCAGACGAGGACAGTTTCCGCTCCGTCGAGCAAGCGCCACGTATCCAAGTCGCGTGGAAACTTCTTGTTGACCTCAGAAAGATCAGAATTGAAAGACGTCCCACGAGAAATAACACGTTACGCACGCATTGTACAGAGCCTCTGCCACGGATCCAGGCCCGGAAGAGCCGTACAGTCACAGCTACTGTGGCGACACCAGCAAGTGCCGCAACAGCGGCGGTTGTAAACTTGTTAGCAGATTGAGCCGTATGCATGTATGCAGTGATCTACCGCAAGTATGTTCCACCAAAATGCAAGACGAACCCAAGAGGATTCTGAGGAATGATAGCTGCGGTCGCGCGACGCGCTCGAATGCGGTTGGGTTTGGTGCATCATGTGATCGTGTCTAATCTATTCGTCCCCCTCGATCGAGCGACGAGCGTATGTACATGCCGACTCAGTGACAGCACCGTACCGCTCGGGGAAACACAACTGCGAAGGTACGAAACAGTATTGCCTCAGCAAGTCATATCATCTTCTTAGTTACCCGATAACATTACTTACCTGTGACCAGACTGCCGCGATCAGGCTCCCGTCCACCAAGTTGGCACTGTCAGTCCTCTGGCTTATTTGCCTTTGATCACAACACTGCGAGGTGGCCCCTCAATCTTGAGGACTAATTGTCGATTCAAGTCGGTTTATCATTTGTTATTTACACTGATCCGAAGTCATGAGGGCAGGTCAGGCCCCGGGACGACTTCGCAAAGCTGACTCGGAGTTGTGGCCAGTCGCGCCCGGCACCAGTGGTGTACCGGGGTCTGCGGCGAAAATCCGCGCCTGTGAGTAGGACAACTTGAAGAGGTGTGAATTCAGTAGTAAGTACAGGTGTAAGACATTGGTAACCGGTGATACAGTTGTTACATAGGAAACACCGTATCAACCATATGCTATAAGCAAGATGTTGCTGCTCATGACCCTGCTTCCAGAGGCTTTCCCTACGCCGGCGGCCTCGCGCTCACAATTTTGCTTGAAATTGCGGTTCAGATATCGCATAGAGCATGAAGAACTAGCAGCGACTCACTTTACCATGCGGCACTGGGTACTGCGGAAAGCCATTCGATCGCCATTACCGAATTCCAGTAGGAGCCTGGGCTGTGTATTCTGTGAGCTCTAATTCGACCCCGTCATGATGGTGAGTACTACGTACACCTGTGACGCTTTCAATAGGCGCGACGAGCCTTCCAACAGCTGTGGTTCCTATAACTTCATAGTTGCCCTGCCAGTGACATACGCGCGATCAGCACTTCGAAAACAATTTGACGTGGTAATGAAAACCCTACACGGATCCTGATGTTAGGTATAGCACTGATACCTGGTGTTGACATTGTGTGGCGTGCAGTAGTTTCGGATATCTGTTGACCTGGAGTTAAGACTGAACTGAGGGCTGACAAGAACAGGGGAAACACGTACGGATGATTGGATGAAGTTTCTATTATCGCGCTGCACGATAGCAGAAGACAATTGGGAGAGGGGGAGGCTGGCGGGGTCAGTGCAGGAAATGAACCTCTTATATATGTCTATAGGTACCAGATGGATCATACCTCCTCCTCGACGCACCATGGACGCCACACAGAAGGTCTATGGATCTTGCATCGTATTGGGCGAAGACCTCCACATCCGCACACCGGCGCTCTGGCCCCTGCCGGCGGTGCCCCCATGTCAAGTCATTGTGGGGGCACACTTCTAGTACTTGGATGACATGATCTAGATGGATGCTGGTAGAGAAGATTGTCGTCAGATCCCGGGCGCAGTTACCGGTGGTGAACAACCTGAATTGGCAACCTGGACTGAAAGCATTGCTATCCGAATGGAGACATTGAGTACACACATTTCGAAATATCTATCATTACATTGCAGCCCACGGAAAATGTGCCAAATTGTTCGTTAAAAGGCATCAGAAGATTGCAAGACGAAAGGCGGAATCAGCAGAGTAGTCGCAGGCATGCCATGTACAACCGCTGCCAGCTGGTCCCGAGCCTCTGCCGCAGACAGTCTGCGGGAGACGTCTGCTTCCAGCATCTGCTCTAGTATTGCATCGATTTCTGCGACCGTCGTCTGTCGAGCATCAGTTATCAACGTGACAAATAAAGAGATAAGTCGCACCTTGAAATCTGAGAAGCTGTTGGCGAGCTGCCAAATATCGGCTTTGAACGGATCATATGGCGTCCCGGAGGCTACCTCTGGTGGAAGGAGACGTTGGTAGTCTTTCATGGGATGCCCGGTCAACAAGCGCTGCTCAACGGGGAGTTCGGGCGGGAACTCGATGGCCGTCTCAAAGTCGATCAAAAAAGCGCGGGGGCGACAGAGAGGAAGTCGCATGGTCAATAATGATTCTGGATGCCATTGGACGACATAGTTCACTTTGCACAGATCCTTCGCAGACGTCAGAACCAGCCGAACTTCGGACAAAGTCAATAGCATACCCTGTGTACTATGCCGAGTTCATGTACGAAGACAATGGCCTGAGATGTCGTTTTGTCAGACACGACGTGCAAGCTGCTGAGACTGAGTACTTACCTCGAGTGACTGTAAAATCATATCAACAATATCCCCGACAGAATTCTTCGCCCATGCACCGTAACAGTCGTTCATGCTGTGAGCAACGTACGGTGAAACAGTGAAGGTTATGTCGTCCAAGTGAACCTCCTTCCAGAGCGGGACGACATGGTTCTCCGTAAGTAGGCTCCTCGTGCCGCGAGCAAGCTTGCGTAGGATCTTGAGATGCTGTTGGCCCTCATTCCCCATAGCTGCTACGCGTAAGACAACATGCAATCCATCCGAAGTTGTACCGCCTCGTGTGAGTTCATTCTGGCATTCATTGATCAGTTAACACGATAACTCCTGGCGAAGCAATACTGACGTAGCAGTTGAACTTTTGGAGATATGCTGCCCGTTCATCACCACGTACTGGGGTCACGTATGCAAATCCATTGCAACGAATTACTCCTCGAGGATCAGCCCTGGAGTAGACCCCGTCGTACGGCCATAGATAAATGCCGGCTTCAGAGAAAGTGGGTCTGGCGACTTCCCAAATGCGCTCACATTCTTCGTCTTCGACGGGCGCACGCCAGGTCTGTAAGTCACGGGGCAACTGAACGCTATACTCAGCAACTCGAGCACAGGCATACAGAATGCTTTAGGAGGGACATACAGTATCACGAACCTCGCGCTCAGTCTGTTTGTGGCGCCGTTTGCTGCCCCAAGACAGAAAGAGCCTCATCGAGAGAGCTACGGTGGCGAGGCCAGCGAATGCTACCGCAGCGGTCGAAATCCTACCGGTAAACAAAGCCATCGAATAGGGAATCTTGCCAGCTGTTCCGAAGGCCTGACGCGCGAATACCTCAGGTAGGGAGAATTTGCTTGTTGTCAAGAGGAAGCTCCGAGTCGTAGTAGTACTACGTGGACGATGGACCACACATGCGACACGCGAAGGGGAAGCACAGCCAAAGGCGCATGGGCAGTGAGCACGTCAGCCAGTGATTGATGTTATGTGGGTTAGTGCACTAGAAGCACTAGGTGATATGTGGGTTCGAGTCGAGACCAAGTCGAGCGTAAGTACTGCCGCTCAGTGCCACATCCTAATCGAGATGCCGGCGCTTTGAGGACCGGAACGGGAGGAGGAGCATATCACTGGCCGTACACTCGTTCTGTCGAGTTCTGTCATCATACAGTGTATCGTGAATCTGTTTATTATTCAGTGTTACATAAGTGGCTATGTCCACCTTGGATTAGGCTTGGGCGCAGAACTGTTGGAGACGACTCAAAGACGACTGCGACGGGACGCCTCCCGCCAGGACAAATGGAAGGAGTGGCAGTGATTCTGACGGAGCAAGGAGTCACACTTTGGCATACATGTATACAGAACACCTACGTGATATCACGACGAAGTCGGTGGCAGTCCCAAAACCTAGCCATTTTCGCTGCGTTGACGGGGTGAACAAGGGCTGCCTGAGATTCCTTGCTATGACACAACTTCATAATGTGTCGTACGCACCCAACATCGAAAGCCTCGCGTGTGCCGATTGGGATGTCCGCCGATGAAGCACCTCAACCCCTTTTCGCAGACTGACGGGTCCACGGCGCCCAATGGCCCACGCTCGTTCATACATGGCATCTCGCCCCGCAAGCCTATCGTGAATCGTGATCAGCGCAACATGCTTTCGGAAGGAGCCGTTGCGATGGAACACTTACCCGTAGAAGTTCTTACAAACAATCGACCGAATTCGTACGGAAGAACGGCGTGGTCTCTTGTCATAGATGGCCCTGTGCGTACTTCGAGAACCCACACACTGCCCAAGCACCGGGACGGCGTGCCTCGTGGAACATGCGTCGACGACCTGCGCATACTCGGGGCAGAGAGGTAGCATCGGAGCCGATTTGAGTCAATCTGTCCTGTCGGAGGCAATGGCCCTGGGAGACATGTCATCTTTTATCGGAAGTGCTTCATGAGGCGGTGCCCGGCGGATACAGCAGGTAAGCCAAATGTCAAGTTGTACGACGCCACGGAAGGCACAGTGGAAGCACATACACAGCGTGTTCTCTGTGTCCGACTCTAGATCAATTCGGTCAAGCAAAATGCGTCGTAGTCCCGGGTCAAATCCGTGAATTCGCAAAGCATGAGTCGTCGCAGATACCGCTCGCTATGTCGCTGAGTTTTCATAGACGTTCGCTAGCTCTCGCAGACATAACAATCCCCACAGTACGGATTAGCAGCGTGAGGTTGCGTCGCACAGTGACTCACAGCTAGCAATTCGATTTGTTTGTACATGCTGCGGCATACGTGGTGGCAGTATGTGAAGATGCAGGACTCCTGCTAGTGCGGCAATATGGTCCTGGATGACCGCGCCCTAATCAGAAGTTGTTAATAATCGGCGACAGTGCTCGAGACGTATGATTAGATGGGAACGCACCTACTTCACCGCACTGTTCTGTACTGGCATATCAGGTCTTGGCTGAGCTCGACAAAATGGACAGCCATTCCGGGTTCGCGTTCATTGACCGCACTGACGTTAGCGTTGCGGCGCCACGTGCACTCCGAGTCCAGCAATTTGGACAAGATTGCAGTCCCGTTGAGACCTGGGTATTTAGTTTGCGCGAGCGAGGTACTTACGGGACCTCCGAGTCACACGTATGTAACTTAGCGATATCTAGTCAAGGATCTGCAGAAAGCAACGAGGTATTGGCAGCGTTGGGAGTGGCTGCGAAAGTGGTTGCCAGTGAGCGATGTTGTGGCTGTTGTGAACGCGTAGATCGCCCGGGCGCCTGTCTCCTTCGTCTCGTTTTGTCTTCGCTCTCCCGCCCTCGCTGTCATTTTTGGTACGGTATGCTCAGCGACACCTACATACCGAACCGTCAACAAGACGATGATGGTTGCTGCACGGACCAGCGAACTTACTCGCCTATGTACTTACTATGATTCGATGCTATTCAAAGCAAGCAAGTAGCGCATCATCGTGACGTATAGTCTCCAACAACGCCGGAGACCAACTGGAGACAAGCCGAAAGTCTGTACGTCGAACGCATATAACTGGTCTGACCCTCTCGCGGCGTAGCTTACAACTTATCTTCAGACATACACTCGAGCAAGACACGATGCTCATCCAGACGCTACTCCGCCGCACCGTTCCCTGCATCCGCAACACACACCGCGGCCTGTCTTCCACCGCTCCCCGACTGACATCTCTACCCTACTCTTTCCTTCCAGCCAACTCTCTCGACCCGAAGCCGCGTACCAAGGGTCTTACGGAGATTCGCGGTCCATACTACGCGCCAGTCACGAAGACGTATCTCGACGAGCTGCTCAGCGACTGGGGAGACTACGTCGATGGCATCAAGTTTGCAGGCGGCGCGTTCTCGCTCATGCCGGAGGAGAGGTTAAAGGGGCTCATCGAGACCGCACACAAGCACAGTGAGTACCGTCTCTGAGTCGACTGTATCTGCACTCGAGCTGTGTTTGCACGCGCGTCCTGCAGACTGTTATGTGAGCACCGGCGGCTTCATCGAACGCGTCCTGTCCTCTTCCGGCGGTAACAAGGACGTCATCTCAAAATACCTCACGACCTGCAAGAACATGGGGTGACTATCCTCCGGTCAACGTTCCCCACCATGATTTCACAGTTGATGTCATAGCTTCGACGTGCTCGAGCTCTCGTCCGGCTTCCTGTCCATCCCTACTGAAGACTGGGCTTCCCTCGTGGAGTTCACGGCCGCCCACGGACTGAAGCCGAAGCCCGAGGTCGGCATCCAATGGGGCGCAGGCGGCGACGCGAGCGTCGAGGAGCTCGAGTCCGCCGGCACGCGTGACCCCAAGTGGCTTATCGACCGCGCTAACACGTTCCTCCAAGCCGGTGCATACGTACGTCGCACATCCTCCTTCAGAACGACGACACTCACCGTCGCCGTCGCAGATGATCATGATCGAGAGCGAGGGCATCACGGAGAACGTGAAGGCATGGCGGACGGACGTGATCTCGGCGGTGACGTCCGCGCTGCCGCGGGACAAGATCATGTTCGAGGCGGCGGAGCCGGATGTGTTCGCGTACCACATCCAGAACCAGGGCGCGCGCGCGAACCTGTTCATTGACCACTCACAGATCGTGCAGCTCGCATGCCTCCGGCGCGGGATATGGGGCACGGGCAGCACGTTCGCGCGCGTCGTGACATTTGACGGCTCGCAGGATTCTGGGAAGGCCGGGAGCGGGGCCACCGAGGGTACGAGCGGTGGCCAGAAGCCGGTCATACCGTCCGCGTGAGGTGATGGAAGACGACGAAGTCAATGGTAAACCTGTATATTAGCGACCTTGTTCACTGACGTTCTCGTAGTGCTGAGCCGGGTGTACTGGTATCAATCAGCTACACGTCTGTTGTTCAACACATGGGTTAGCGAAAGCACGACGGCATTGCATTGACGTTCAACGGGTTACATGGCAAGACGACAGCTATCGAAAGGACCTTGGGAGACATATCCAAAAGACCCGCCGTCAAGCGTCTCGAGCGTGTACGTCGTCGAGGACGACATATCAGTACGGTATTGACTCAGGAAGCTCTGTACACCAATGTGTAAGTTCGGTGTCTGAATAGGCTGCAGCTGCGTGCGGCATCGTCTCACCTCCAAATCGGCCTTGTTGGCCCAGTTGTCGCCGTATCCAGTGACACCGAGTGTATTGGATGATTCCGTATTAGGAGCGGTAGGGATGCCGTACAGAGACTGCAGGCAGGCAGGCGTAACAGTAAGACCACAGGCAGCAAGGGAAAGATCGTCTGCACTGGGTTGCTGTCGCTTCTTGGGCTGAGAGGAGAAGACGGGTGCCAGGGCCGAATACTTCGGGAACCTATGACAAGGTACATCAGGATGAGAGCGTTCTGTGGACTTTTGGCGCCCATACATTACAGTGGGGTGGACGACAGAAATATGACCCGCGAGTGCCTGCTCCGTTCAAAGAGGTCTTGTTTCCGCTTACTGAGAGCTAAGAAAGTGCCGCACCGTGATCTTTGGGGAACTTGGATTGGTTCTCTGGACGCAAGGACGATCGACACGCCGCCGAAGGAGAGGTTTGGCTCAGTGTACTACACGCGAAGACATTCGGGTGCGCGCTGAAGATGTCTGACACAGCGAGAGACCATCAGTGTTATCTTATGCATATGCGCGAGATGCCCACACCTCAGCTCGAAAGGAGATACAATCGTCTAGATCCCCGCCTCACTGTACTGAAACGTGTCCAATGCACGCACACCGGCACGTCACCATTCGCGATCGCCGTACTAGTACACTCTCCAGCAAAACACGAGTTGCACTCGTCGCGGCCGCAAAGTCTGCGTACTTAGCGCTGAGTTAGCGACATGGTGGCTTGGAAATAACAACGTGATATCCAAAGCCGGCATCTAATGATCAGCGGGGATAGTCGGCATCTCGAACAGTTCAGGTCTCGTGGGGAGGTATTACGAGATAGAAGTTAAGTGATGCTTACTGTAGCATGTCTACACAAGGTTACGATAGTCAACAGCTCAGATCTGTAAGCGCGTAAAGTTAATGCTGGATCATTTGTCAGTTTCCGTCGGAAAGACTGACATTGCACAGGTATCGCGCATCTGTACGCTGCGATCCGCAAACCAATGATACACTGAAATCCGCGACACTGAGGGGTGCAGGACGACCGACTTTCCTGACATCAGCATGTGATTCAGGAGCAAGCCACCAACAACATCGTGCTGAAGACGAAGCTGCGAGATCGCGTGCGGATATCATAGTAGGTGGTGCAGAGTGCGCGGCGGGAAATGCGTCACTTAGTACTTGGGGTTAATATCCCAGCGGGTTTGCAGGGCATTTCAAGCCCCGCTGTGGCGGCTGTGGCGCGATCGCCCCGAACGTCTCTAAGTCGCGTCGCGCCCCGTTACAGCGCGAATAGTAGACTGCGTTTATACGGATACTTATGTACATTACAACTGTTTTGTACCGACTCATTACTATGCAATATACTGATTACTAGAGTCACGCCACAGTTAAGGACTCCGAGTAGTAAGGACGAGTAAGTAGGAAGATAAGCATAACATACTAACAAACAAGCTAGTACGACTTTCAATTCAGCGCCGTGCGATATACTTGTAACCTATAACGTTTGAAGGAGCCGCCTGCCCGCGTTCGCGGGTATTCGTGATGGGCATGGTTCGTCTGCGCTCATGCTTCTCGATGTCTCGGGCCCAACGCACGGCTGGGCGGGTCGCGCGAAGGGCGTTTTGGACGAAGCGGCCCTCTGCACCGGCGTCGCGTTGTTCTTCAATGATATCAGCGGCGCGGTGTAACAGGCGGAGATGTTCGTCCACGTCCACGTCGTCTTCGTCATCAAGCTGACACGGACGTTGTCGATCGTGTTAGTGTTGGCGCACCATTGCAATTGGGTGGCATTGCTTACTGTAAAGCCCGCACTTCCACCCGCCCGCGCGCGCAACAACCCGTCACGTCCGGTAGGCGGTGGTTTGTTAGGTGACGAATCTATCTGTAGGTGTGCCCGGCAATGAATACGAGTCATGTAATCCCGAAGTGCACATTGATACTCACCGGTGATGACCTACTAGTGACTGCCAAGGCGGGCAGCACTGAATCTTCCTCCCCCGATTCCTCTGAAGTATCCGCCACCGGCACCTGCGCCTGAGATGCGCGGGACATATTCACCGAACCGGGAGGCGCCGCCGCACGCTTGCCATGACCACTGCCAGTGACAATCGCCGAGTCCGAGTCATCCGAGTCCGACGTACTGGTATCCACCCTGGGCATTCGACTGAGCCATGCGTGCTTCGTCGTCAGTTCTGGGGGTGGCGCGATCTTGCCGTCGATGGGGACTGTGTAGAAGGGTGGAATATGAAACCGCTGTACCTGCACCCACCATAAGGCAGGTGGGTTTCCCGCGGCCCGAACAAGGTGCTTGCAGAGAAGGTAGGCATGGTACTTCTGAGCGCCGCAGTCGCATGTCCAGCGGTGGACATCCGTCGTGTACGCGCCTTTGATCGGGACCTTCATGAGTCGCTCCCACGAGTGCTTGAAGTGCTCTTGCATGGTCGTGAGTGCCTGTGCGCGGCCTTCGCGGTCGCTTCGCAGGAGACGTCGGAGAGTGAGACGGTAGGGTGGAAGCGCCTTCGTGATGATCGCGTGAACAGCGAGGTCAACAGGCGGGCGGTTGTACATGTGAAGTACGAGCCGTTTCAAGTTTCGCCAGAGAGCCTCGACCATCATGGTCGTACGCTTGCAAGGAATGCTCGCGGAGTACGCACCGCGTGCCCACAATGGCCATCGCTTCCGTGAATACCACGAATTCCACAGGTAAGCCCACACCTCGCAGAGATGATTGACTTCGCAATGCCGGTACATCTCCTCGACGGCATCACGGCGGATATCATCCTTTGTTCGCTTCTCGCCATGCCGCTCGGGAAGGAGTGAGTGCTGCGATGCATGCTTCGCAAAGAGCCGCAGGATGGACAGTCGATGCGCAGGTGGACAGAACTGGTACCCGGGCTTCTTGGTCTTCTGGCCAGTCTCGGCTTTGTCGCTCGGTGCGTCTTCGTCAATATTGCTCTCGTCCTCTGCGAACTCGTCAACCTGCCGCCGCAGATCATCCTCCACATCCTCCCAGTCATCCTCGCCATCCCATCCCTCATCTTCATCCGCACCCTCTGCCTGCTGCTCTGCCCGATCTGCCCAGTACGTACCTTCGTCGCTGCGTTCATCATCCTCCAAGTCCTGGCCACTGACACATGGCTCTGATGGACGGAGGCCCTGCCCTACGCTTGCTTCAACATCGAAGCCCTCCGACACCTCTGCGTGTGTTGTATTCATGCGACGTTGAGCTTGCGAGGGCGGTAGGACAATCCGAGGAAGAGCAGGGGTGATCACAGATGGCCGGCCATTGATGAGGAGTCGTACACGTCTCAGTGGTTTCTCCGGCGGATCTGGGACCTGTACAAACATGTTCAGTATTCTGTTCTGCTGTTCTTATTATTATGACGCACAGGTTCAGCATCCGACTGCTGCATATGTGGGAGAAAGTCGCGCTTGATGAACTCAAACTCACGACGTGCATTATCGACATCGTAGGGGGCCGGAGTATCCTTGTTCTTGGCGAGGCGCTGCTTCAGTGCTCGGAGCGCGTGCCAAAAACAGAGCTGATGCTTCGATCTCGGCCATGTGGTGCGCATCGCATTAATCTCTGACCAATCCTTGTCCGTGAGCGTGTATTCAGGGTTCACGCCAGCCTTCTTCAGCTGGCCCAGAAACCTCGTAAGTATTGCCTCCTTCGCTCCCTTGTCTGCGTCCTTTGTAGTCTTGACAAGCAAGAATGCTAGTGGGACGCCTGACCCCTTCGCATCGGCAACGGCCGCGAAGAGTTCGAAATTGGTTCCGTTGGTGTTCCCTGATCGAATCTAAAGTTAAGATTTACTTCCGTTTGGGGATAATCCTGATACTCACACGTCGAATCCATCGCTAGTTCCTGGGTATTCACTGCCCACTCTTGCACGAAATCGACGACTTGGAATGCGACAACATCTGTTCCCGGCTCAGCCTTCACATCCAAGAGGGCAACTTGATGTTCTCCAGCTCGCTGAATGTATGTCCTCGCTGACTCAAGCGGATTATCCGCGAGTTTCCACTCCCCTCTGCTGACTATATGCCAGTAATAGTACACAGCTTTCGATCGGTACGGCAGATTGACTTCTGTGACAGTCTGGCCCTCTAGCTCCTCCCGTACGATATGGCGCCAAATCTGAAGGGTCGACATACATAAATGTCACACACTGCCAGCAGGTCAAGCATTGTTGTACGTACTTCACCGGGAGTTTGGTTCCGTGCATGCTTGCTGATGTATTCCTTCCAGTGGTCTGGGAGATCGATGTCGACGTATGCGAGGTGCTGTACTGCATGCTTAACTGACACAATCATCTCAGACTTCTTGCCTGCGACTGTGATATGCAGCCATCCGTCACACGGGAAGCGCTCCATACGACGTGCGGTACGTGGCTTTGATGTCTTCGGCTCCTTCTTCTTCTGCTCACGCTCACTTGACTGCGCGCAGCTGAAGCTAAACACTGTATCCTGAGTGCGAACACGGGGCCGTTTTGCCTCGTAACTGCTCCGTAAGCAAGGTTGCATCTATCCTATAATATGACTGTACTCACGTCCAATGCAGCATCATACGATCCCCCGCCATCTCCGCAATCACGTCCGCTTGCTTCCGTGCATCCAAATGTAATGGGACGGCGTCTCCGGGATCAATGCGTGCCTTCATCTCGAAATCTGACACTTCGATACCCTCTGCAGCGGCCTCGAGAAAATCCATCAGAGCCATAGCATCCAGTGAGTCTTCATTCTCTGAGTCGTCGCTGTCATCACCATTGAGTGGTTTCTTTCGCTTCTTTGCATTGATTCGCCTGCGCTCATTTGCCTTGTCCATACAGGAGCGACATGACGAGGTCGGCTCGCCCTTTTTGCTGTTTGCAGAGTCCTTGACACGGGCGGGGAATTGAGACACAGAGTAAGTGTTGTGACAGTCTTTGCATCGTTTTGTGGCCATAGTATGTGAAGCAAGCAAGCCAGAATCGAGGTGTAGAGTGGGGATTGCGCGATAGGTATATGCCGTGCACCCTGAGGTGCCACCTTGCAAATGCAGCCAGTAAGAAATTTCTATTGACCTGACTTATAGATTCTTGTAACAACGTTGTAATGTACATAAGTATCCATATAAACGCAGTCTACTATTCGCGCTGTAACGGGGCGCGACGCGACTTAGAGACGTTCGGGGCGATCGCGCCACAGCCGCCACAGCGGGGCTTGAAATGCCCTGCAAACCCGCTGGGATATTAACCCCAAGTTCACTTAGTCGGCGAGATGTGTCCTCGAGGGAAGGGTTCCACCCGGGCCGCCGAGGGCGAAGCACAGAAGCGGTGTCCTGGTGGCATCATCACGAAGCATACAACGCGGACCACACTGACGCACAATGTGAATCAAGACACTGCTATGCAGACATAGCCCGTACGCACGAGATTCGAACAGACTGAATACTCACTATGTCCCATCTAAGTCCGAGAGCCTGTGCGGGGACGTTTACACACTTCGCCAACTTGAGCGTAATAGTGCTCATTGATTCAGGCGTTTGGACGTCGGACCGTCATCGCAACTTGACTGGTGCTGTCAGCGTGGCGTTAGTAAGTGGTGGCTGTGGGGTGTCTGAACAGCACTACTCCGCAATCATCGCCAAACGTGCAAATGACACGCCGATGCTGTGGAAGTGGGCGCACGAACTTAATTTGAAAGCTCCGACAAGTGCGCGTCCTACCATAGGATCACATGCGTCTCCAGTTCAGGGCTCACCAGGTCATGCCCCGAAGCTCGCTCGCCAACATTCCCTGCGAATGACATGGTGTACAGAGCTCGGACGTGCACAGCAAGTAGTACTATCTGCCAGCGCGCACAACTGCGTGAATGTGCCAATCCGCAAGGTTGCATATAGTACGCACCGGATTGGGCTGTCTACCGCCACGAGCGCCCCGCCCAGTGCTGCTGCTGCCATCGTTGCTTATGTTCCGTAGGGCTCGGAGTTCTAGCGGCGTCGTGCTAAATTCGGGCCCGGCCAAACGCGTATCGGGAGCCTGGAGGTGGCGTCTGCGAAACGGTCAACAGGTTGGTCAAAATGCAGCAACGCGAGCTCGTCTCACCGCACCGTGCTAACACCTCTTTGCTCCGGCCCCTACAGCATGTCTTCGGCTTCGTACTGGAGTGACCATATAGATGTGACTAGAAACCTTGGTGGCGCATCGTTAAGTCGTGTGACATTGACCGCGGATGCGAATTGTGGCGCGGGTCATCACCTTGATACACGTTGTGTGGACGTCAATCTGACTACAACTATGAGACCCAAATCAGACAGTTGTAGAATGACATAATCTCTACATACCTGAGAAATGTGCGATATGTAGACCGCAGAATCATTGCGTGAGACAGTGATACAGAGACGAAAGACAAACGCGTACTCCAATTGAAATACATGAGTCGGTTGACATACCTGACTTGCAAACCATCGTGCATGCGTCAGCCACTAGTAGTGACTGTATTTCTATATTTTTTTTAGTATTACGCTCAGGCACGGTACGGGGGTGCGAGTTCACGTACGTACAAGATTGGTGCGAGGCGGGTCTAACCCAAGTTACGCCACGAGGGTACAGAAGGCAGACTCAGGAACCCCTTAGGCACGTCTCGATCCGGGAGAGGGATCGACCGCAACGGATGTCGTGCCATGGATGGTAAACGTAAGAATCAGCGGAGATGGCGCTTCCAAACCAAGGATGGAGGCAGAAGGTGCGGATGTGGCAATGGACCAGCGGGCGCGATTCGGACCTTGGTGTCGAAGTTTGCTACCGAATGGCATGCGCGCTGGGAGGTTCATTTGCCAGTATCGGTCCGAAGGGTGGTCCCAAGCATATCGTGGGCGTGAGCGGCTTATTGCCGGTCAGCGGGCTAGAACCCGAGAGGCATCTGTAGGTTCCCGAATCCTCTCATGGTACGGCATTAAGATGCGGATTAAAAACTATGGAACCTTCGTTGAAGGCGCTCGAGACAATTCGATCTACCTGCAATGCCTAGATTACTGTAAGAATCATACCACAGAGACACACGAACGCGCACCACGCAATCCGTGCCCATAAACGCAGGTAGGCAGACTGCTGATTGTATCGGCGCCACCACTGGACCAATTTGTGTGAGAGGTTACAGCACATGCGAAAGCTTGACTGGACGCACTGTCTTGGGTTGAGCATTAGGCAATATAGGGTCCACCGACTCCAGCCAACAATGGCACGCTCGGAACTACTTATGTATGTCCAGGACATCGCGGCGCCAGTGACAGCTGTCAAGACAATAGCGTAGAACTCGAGGCAATCCACGTTTAACAGAAGCGCACATGAAGATCTTGAAGCTTGATGAGGAGTCTGTGTCAATCGATTCGAGACGACTGGAGTGTCACGCCGCCTCTTCCGCTGCAGCTTGTTTTTATACGCGAGTTTGAATCAGGATATCCGATGGAGGTGGCACCGAGCTCCCGGATTGCCAGAACAACGAGCACCGCATGTGGGAAGAGATGCCAGTGAACGCTCGAGATGGTAGGAATGACGACGAGCTGAGATTTTGAATTGCAACTAGTATGAAAAGATGTGCGGTACAATGTAGCGCGAATTTGAAAGCCAACTCTGAGCGGCTCGAGGGTCGGCACGTGACTCTGAGCGGCGCGCTACGTGCCACGCCACAGTCGAGTGCGAGTTGTCGTCAACCATCGCACGCAAGCACACGGACTGGAATCATTGATGTACTTAGACCATCACCTCTGATGTCTTCTCTCTTTTCACGTCGCACAGCATGTCTGTGCGCACACAAGCGTGCTGCAGACTCGACTTCCGCTCCTGTGCAAAATCGGAGGTACTGTCAACGGACCAGCGTCACTGTCCGAGTGGATCAACCGGCCCCGGGGTGTCCTCTCCCACCGCTGTCTCCTGCTCAACCGTGAAACCGAGGAGGCATACCTGGCTTCGGATTTCAACTGGCCCCGCCGATGATAGACTCTCATAAACCCCTGACCGCATCAGCGTGGTTCTCCCATCTGTCACAATAGCGAGGCCCACTTCGGTAGCTCCTGCTGTAGTCACAGTTCTTTCTCCCACAGCATATACATCCTGCGTCGCAGACTTGCGCTCGACGACTTGTCGCCCGCTATCATGGTGACCCTCGCCCTCGACTCGCTCGATCCTCTAACTCGTGCACTCCAGCCCCCGAAGGACGAATCCCCCGCGGACCGCTGGGCACGCGAACAACGCGAAGCTCAGGCGCGTCTTATCAGTGAGCACATCGATGCGCAGCTCAAGGCAGAACGGGCCGCGCTCAGGAAGAAAGGGAAGCCGATTAAGGTGCTCCTACTTGGCCAAAGCGAAAGCGGGAAATCCACCACAGTCAAGAGTGCGTACGCTCTGTCAATGTGCTCTCCGTCGCGTCGTCCGCCGCCTCTTCTAGACAGTGCTTCAATAGACACATTGTGAATTCAGCAACGATCACTCGGAGATCAGCAGTCACTCTTGCTGTTATACCGAAGAGGCTATGCTGCGATGTTCGCTGAGCCCTTTTTCTTGTCTTTCTGCGTCGCTGGAATGAACCGACTCGTCAAGGATATGATGCTCACTCGCTGATGTATCTCATTTAGACTTTCAGTTGACCTACGCGTATTCACAATTCATAGAAGAGCGATCTGCATGGCGGGCAGTCATCCACCTCAACTTGGTCCGCTCTGTCAACACCATCCTCGACGTTATCGGGCGGGAACTATCCCGATCCAGCTCTCAACCGCAATCGCCCCGCTCGTCCTCCCCTACACGATCTCCACGACCATCCACCACACGGCCGAGCACGTCGACTACCGTCTCCGTGCCAGTGAGCAGGGGACCCTCCAGCACCCTCACTGGCGCAACACTCGTCTCCGGCGACACGCTCGTGCCAAACATCGACCCCGACGCAGCAGACGACCTCGACGACGACGAGTCCTACTGGCCCTCGCCCTCCCCGCTCTCCGACCGCCACCGCCTGCTCCAGCTCCAGCTGGCGCCGCTCCGACAGGTGCAGCGCGACCTGGAGCGCAGCCTCGGCGCCGCGTCCACGGAGGCGCCAGAGTACGCGGGGGCCGCCGCGCCGTGGGAGCGCTACGACGCCGCGGGACGCCGTCCGCGCGAGTTCTTCGTCACCAGCCGTACTGGGTGGAAGACCGCGCTGCGGCGTGTGAAGTCCGGGTATAACGCCGCGCGGCGGGCGTCGCTCGGCTCCCGCGAAGAGGCGAAGGCTGATGTCGTGCAGCAGGAGAGGCGGCCTGTGAGTAGACAGTCTGTTCACTTTCTGGATGGCGCGGCAGGAGTGCGCTGACGGTGATGGTTGCAGCCTTCGAGGAGAAGACCTATGCGGCCTACGTCTCCATTCGGCATATCGAGCCAGGAAGACAACGAGGACGAGCTGAACAGCGCGGAAGGCGAGGGCGAGCCGCAGGCCCAGACTGCAGCCGAAGTCATCTCCTCGTGCGCCGAAGAAATGTCTGCACTCTGGGCCGACGCGGGCGTGCAGGCCATCCTGAGTCGGCGGAAGATGAAGACGCGCCTGGAGGAGGGACCGGGGTTGTGAGCGCTTTCATCTCCGCCTTGGCCATGCTGTGAGGAAATTCACCGATGGCTTCTTTCTGGTGGTCTTCCGCCGCCGGCAACCTTGACAGCTTCTTGAATGACGTCGCGCGCGTGGCTGCACGGAATTACGAGCCGTCAGACGAAGATGTGGTCCGGGCGCGGTTACGAACGATGGGAGTGCAGGAGTACCGGTTCAAGTTCGACAAAGGTGTGTATCATCCAAAGTGACCCCTGTTCTACTTCTGTTCGTCGCATTTGCATGATGATTGGTTGATCTGATCGATGATACTCACATTAGGTCTTGACGCAGACAGAGAATGGATACTTTACGACGTCGGCGGTGCACGATCACTGGTAAGTTGCACACTCCGTGCATGTTTTCTCCCACCAAGCGACGTTTACATATGCTCTGTACAGCGACACGCATGGTACCCATACTTCGACGACATCAACGCTCTCATCTTCCTTGCTCCCATCAGCTGTTTTGACGAGAGACTGGCAGAAGATCGTCGTGTGAACCGTCTCCAGGACAGCCTTCTCATTTGGAAGGCTGTCTGCTCTTCGCCGCTGCTCGCGAAGGTGCAATTAATCTTGGTGCGTGACACTTCCCCCTTGGATCACACCATCTTACGCCGGAGTTGCAGTTCCTGAACAAGTGTGATCTTCTGGAGAAGAAGCTCCAGCGCGGCGTCCAAATTTCGCAATACGTCACAAGCTATGGGAACCGGCCAAACGAGGCCAAAGCTGTAGCGAAATGTTCGTACCGTACATCCTCATTGTCGCCACATTGATGATTTGAACGTGGTGAACAGACTTCCGGCAGCAGTTCAAGGACGTCTTTCTTAAGCATTCGCCCGAGAAGAGGACATTCTATTCCTACTTAACCTCCGTCGTCGTACGTTGCTTGCCCTTCACTGCGAGATCGGGCTCACCGAGAATGTGCGCCAGGATACGAAAGCCACTGCCGTTACTGTAGCCACCGGTGCGCCTCATCGTCTCGTACTCACGAACCGCTGCTGACTGTCCGGCGCCGGCAGTACATGATGGAATTCAGCGACAGTACATGAGAGACGCCGATATTCTATGAACACCCGCACGCTCATGCGGTCCCTCCGGCGCATCTAACTTATCCTAAACAGAAACTATTGTATCGTTGCTGATATGCTGTTGTACGCGGAAGTCTCCCCTGTATTGTATGTCAACCTAATATCGGACTCACCATATAATTGTAGCGACTGTGCTATGCACTATGTATCTATGCTCACATCACATTGCATGTTGAATATCACACTCAAACAGCTTGATCTAGGTGAGGGCCCGAAGATGTTGTGATCCTCCCTGCTGGGGAGCTGGTTCGTCAAATCGTTATCAGGTGCGGTACTCAATGATCTCAAGGTCTATGGCATTAGAGATGATCCAGGTGCCAGCATACATGATGGGCAGGGGGCGAAACTCGCGATCAAAGAGGTACTGAACGCATAAAGCCGGAAACCCTCTCGCTGACAATGCTCTTTTAGTGGTCTCAACCGATGTGTCCACAATTGAGACCGCTACGGAACCGCAGACAGTCTCTCATCATCATTGTGGAGTGACATCAGGATTACATCGTCGTAGAACTAAGATCAACTAAGACGTTCAAAGCCCCGCCGCTGTCTTGAGCTTGGAGAACACAGGAGTTCCCAGACCCGTGACCTGTGGTCGTAGAGTCAGCGAGCGTCGTTCACGTACAGAATGCAAGGAAACGCACCGGGTCCCAACCTGTCGTTGCCGAGAAGCCAGTGGTGTTGCAGCCAGGATTGTCGCCCGAGGTAATATCCGTCAGTGCGGACGCGGCGGTTGAGTACAGCCACGGGTTGAGGAAGCCAAGCGGAGACTTCCCAGCCGCGATGAGCTCGTCGTTCAGGAGCGAAATGATGGCCGCGAAGGTCGGGCTGGCGCAGCTCGTGCCGCTAACCGTTTCAGTGCTGCCCCCAGTAACTATCTCGAAGTCCTGCGCCTGGGTGGCAACATCAGGGAAGCCGCGGCCGGATGTGTTGTAGAGACCCGAGTACGTCGAGCCGAGATAGTCAAGGTACTCGGGGACGACGGTCGATTGGTAGGAGGGTCGTGCCCAGTAGTTGGAGAAACCACCGCCCGAGAAGTAGACGGCAGTCTCAGGGAGAGTTCCTGTCGTTCCGCCCACGGACGTGATGCTAGCAAGGTATCAGTATATTCTTGTTGAGAAGACTTGATCCTTCGAAGTACTTACTATGGACATCCAGAAGGGAACTCGGGAACAAATGTTGTGCAGTCCCTGTCCTGAACTCCGGACACGCCACCATCTCCGGATGCGAACATGATAGACACACCGCGTGCTCCAAGCTGAGCGTATGCATTGCACAGATTACTGGGTTGAAATCCCCGTCAGTATAGTGCTCGCCGGGGGTTTCATTGGGTACTTACACCGCCATCCCTTCATCAATGTCCGGTTCCCAGTCCCCGTAGCTGGTAGTGATCACTTGGGGAGGCGAGTCTTGGCCAAGGAGGTAGTTGATCGTATCCAAGAAGCCATCAAGGTCCCCGTCGTTGGTGGTCTCGCCGACAGAGATGAAAGTCACCGGTACACCAGTGGCGATACCGACTGTGTATTCGATGTCGAGGTCCTGATTGGGCATACGTCACAGATGAACCCACACGAATGTCGGCGAGAACTCACCGCCTCGACGCCAGCATCAGAGCTGGTCTGTGGATCAGACCCGTCGTCAAGCGTCTCGAGCGTGTACGTTGTCGAGGACGCCATATCAGTACGGTATTGACTCAGGAAACTCTGTACATCATGTGTAAGTGCGGTCTCTGGACAGGCTGCAGCTGCGTGCGGCATCTTCTAACCTCCAAATCGGCCTTGTTGGCCCAGTCGTCGCCGTACCCAGTGACACCAAGTGTGTTGGACGATTCCGTAGCAGGAGTGGTAGGAATACCGTACAGAGACTGCAGGCAGGCAGGCGTAACGCTGAGACCACAGGCAAGGGAAAGATCGTCTGCACGGAGTTGCTGTCGCTTCTTGGGCTGAGAGGAGAAGACGGGTGCCAGGGCCGAATACTTCGGGAACCTATGACAAAGTACATCAGGATGAGAGCGTTCTGCGGACTTTGGCGCCCATACATCACAGTGGGGTGGACGACAGAAACATGGCCCGCAAGTTCCTCTGGGATGGCATAACCCAAAGTACGAAGAACCTGTTTCCCAGTGTCGTCGTGGACGTAGACGTTGTAGTTGGCGCTGAACAGCTCGTTCGCCTGGCTGACAGTGGGCTGTATGCTGATCCAATCGCCAGCCGGGCTGATAATCGTAGAGCTGAGTCCGTTCTTCTGCAACCACGAGTTGACAGTAGACACCGTCTCAGAGGTCGGTGCAACATATGACGCGGCCTATCCGACGCAACATCAGTCCCGACTCAACTATGCAAGTATTGGATCGCGTACCTCTGCCTTGCTTAGATGTTGACCATAGTTTGGGCTCGAAGGGGTGCTGACATCATAGAGAGCATCCTCAAGCCCTGAAGGGTTGCTCTGCGTCAAGGCGATCTTGAGGGTCAACGGCGTGTCGGGAGCAGCTGCCCCGGTGAGCGAGAAACCGGGTGCTGCTGTATCTCTGCGATACTTCGGGACGCTGCGACATAGCACCCCCGAGGCGGCAAGGGGGAGGAGCGCGGCGACTTTCAGCAAGCCTGCAAAAACCATGAGTACCGGGGAGTGCAGGGATGCGGAGGGCGGACCCTTGGGACGCGACGGACAGCTGCAGATATCTCTTATAGTGGCATCGCCGGGGTCGACGCAACGAACATCTAGAAGTCCATACGGATAAAGTGGTCGATCAGCATGGGACTGTCAAAGATCGTGTGTGAACCTGAAGAGGCTATATAGTCTTGCGCACCGATACAGAGCCGACTGGAGAAGCTGATGTGTGCCAAGGCCCAGCAAGCGGCATGCTATGCCTACTTACAGTGCTATATTGTCAGCGTCATCTCCGTCGACATTTGTGGTCGGGCTTGGTGAGTCACACGATCAACCGGAAGGCAAGAGCGAGATAAGCACGAAGTCTGTGCAGTGCACATACATTCTCATGCAGCATGGTGTACCCGTCCCGGGACAGGACCCCTATCAATTGGGGGAGAGGCCTGATCTTAATCCGGACAAAATCCGGCCAATTGAGGGGGGTATGCCTGATGTTATCCGGACAAAATCGTCCCTTATGCGGACGGAGGCCTGAGGAAGTATCCGGACATGGTGGTCCATGTCGCGCGAGGCCTGATCCTAGTCCGGACAAGGGCCCGGACAACTCAGAGCACCGGTGGGCCATGAGCGACACACATTACACGAGGCTTATTGAGGCTCATATGTCCGCATCGTAGTTGGGTTGCATAAACAACATAACTGTTCTCACAACGATAGTAAAACTCAGTAGTGTATGCACGCAGGTTTGCCGGGGCAAGAATGTGCGTTCACACAGTACTACTGTAGTACTCCCATTGCATCTGTGCATATTGAAGGTGCGAAGGCGGTGAGTTGCATGGCTCAGGAGGCCTGATCCTGCAATCCGGACACCGAACCGCCTGCCCCGAGGCCTGATGCAGAGTCCGGACAGCACCGACCAGAACCTCGTAAGGCCTGATTTAATCCGGACAAAATCGAAAGGCTACGTCCGGACAAAAAAAGCAAAATCTCGGGTTGCCGGATCAGGCCTCCCCACCAATAAATAGGGGTCCTCCCGGGACCCCCTAGCGTGCGCCAATCCAGTGAGATAGCGCAGAAGGCAGACTCGAAGACCATGCGTCTTCGATTCGGATATGATCACAAACCTGTGTTAATTTAGGACGTGAGTGTCCTACATACTTAGATAAGGCGCTTGAACCTCTCCCGCATGATGATACCACAGTAGTGTAGTAAGTTCTCCCGCCGGCAAGTACACCCCGGCGTTCGCTGCATAGACCGCACGAACGTAGGCTAGATGTTCATCGTCCAGTCATATTGAGCATCATCGGCGTGTGGTCTCTGTGTAGTACGCCTAGACCATCAAGGCTAACACAGCACAGTGGGAACCTAGTGGTAGGTAAAGATGGAAGGTGTGTGTTGACGCTTTGCCATCCTAGCGGCTGAGGGTGATATCTGCGGCGAAGTACACGTCCATGATTTCAGCCAATATATGACCTTCAGTATCCCAAGTTCCAGTAAAGTGGAGATATCAACTGTCACCTTCAGTATCATGGCCGCGACACAGCCGTAAAACAGAGCGACATACCATCTTAGATCTGTCTGCTGAAGACCGTGGTTATGGCGAACTTCAAGCCCAACCTGACAGCTGTCCTCCGTTGACGCCGAATCGCCCGTCAGGCTCTTCTCATACTTCGACGGGTGTACTTTCAGTAGGGAGGTTTCGGCGCTTGATTGACAGCTCACTAGGACTCAAATGACTTGTGCGACGTCAGAATCATATCATAAGCACTACGATCATCCGAGACGGTCACAGCCCTGCCGCTGTCTTGAGCTTGGGGTATATAGGGGTTCCCAGTCCCGTAACCTACACTCGTAACATTAGCGAGCGTCCCTCACGCAGACCGCATATCAACAGGCAATAAACGCACCGGGTCCCATCCTGTCGTAGCCGAGAAGCCAGTGGTGTTGCAGCCCGGATTATTCCCCGACGTAACATCCGTGAGTGCGAACGCCGCGACCGCGTACAGCCACGGATTGAGGAACCCAAGCGGAGGCCTTCCAGCCGCGATGAGCTCGTCGTTCAGGAGCGAGATGACAGACGCGAAAGTCGGGCTAGCACAGCTCGTCCCGCTGGCAGACACAGTGCTGCCGTTAGTGACGATCGCGAAGTGCACTGCCTGGGCGGCGACGTCGGGGAAGCCGCGGCCATACGCGTTGTAGAGACCAGCGTAGGTAGCGCCGAGATACTCCAAGTACTCGGGGACGGCGGTGGATTGGTAGAAGGGTCGCGCCGAGAAGTAGACGCCGGTCTCTGGGTTGGTTCCCGTGGTTCCGCCCACGGACGTGATGCTAGCGAGGATGAGACTAAGGTTCATGCGTTTGCTGAGCACTTACTATGGGCATCCAGCAGGGAAATCGGGGACGAATGTGGTGCAAGATATGCTTTGTATCTCGGACACGCCGCCGTCACCGGATGCGAACATGATGGACACACCGCGAGCACCCAGCTGAGCGTACGCGTTGCACAGGTTACTGTGTCGCGATCATATCAGCATACAGCTCGCCGTCACATCATCGAGCACTCACACTGCCATTCCTTGATCAACGTCGGTTTCCCAGTCTCCGTAGCTCGTCGTGATCACCTGAGGTGGCGAATCCTGGTTAAGCAGATAGATGATGGTATCTAGCGAGCCATCAAGGTCCCCATCGTTGTTGGACTCGCCGATCGAGATGAAAATCACCGGTACGTCGGTCGCGATACCGACTGTGTACTGAATGTCCAGGTCCTGATTGAACTTCAGCGTTATTTGGGACCCACTCAAGTATCGGAGGCACTCACAGCCTCAGAACCCGCCTCGTCTATGTCCTGTGGGTCAGAGCCACCGTCGAGCGTCTCGAGCGAGTACGTGGTTGAAGGGGACATGTCAGTACGGTACTGGCTCAAGAAGCTCTGTGCATTACGCGTTAGTGTCGGAGTCGTGTCTTTCCAGCATCGCCGCACCTCCAAATCGGCCTTGTTGGCCCATTCGTCGAAGTATCCAGTGACACCGAGCGTATTAGACGGTTCGGTGGCGGGGGTGGCGGGAATGCCATACAGAGATTGCAGGCATGCGGGCGTAACAGTGCTGCCACAGGCGGCGGCGATAAGATTGTCCGCGGGGGCTTGCTGCCGCTCCTTCTGCTGAGTAGCGAAGGCGGGTGATAGGGCTGAGAACTTCGGGAACCTAAAATTTGACACATCAGTGTGTGGCGGTTCGGTGACCAAAGCACTCCGGGTGTCCATACATGACAGTAGGATGGACGACAGTAACATGACTCGTGAGTTCCTCAGGAACAGAGTATTCCAACGTCCGAAGAACCTGCTTCCTAGTTTCGCCATGGACATAAACGTTGTAGTTTGCGCCGAACAGCTCGTTCGCCTGTCCCACAGTAGTCTGGATGCTAATCCAGTCACCAGCCGGAGTGAGGTTTGTAAAGTTGATCTCGTTCTGCTGCAACCACGAGTTGACAGTGGACGCCGTCTCAGATGTCGGTGCAACGTATGCTGCCGCCTATCCAAGGTAACATCAGTTCCGATGTGCAAATATTAGATCTCATACCTCTGCCTTGCTTAGATGTTTACCATAGTTTGAGCTCGACGGGGTGCTGACATCGTAGAGAGCATTTTCAAGCCCTGAAGGGTTGCCTTGCGTCAAGGCGATCTTAAGGGTCAGCGGCGTATCGGGGACAGCTGGTCCCGCGAGCTTGAACCCTGATGGTGCTGTGTCTCTGCGATACTCTGATAAGACACTGCGACCCAGCACCCCTGAGGTGGCGAGCGAAAGGACCGCCGCGGCTTTCAGCGAGCCTGCAGAGACCATGATCGAGTGGGAGTGCAGGGATGCAGCGAGCAGCACTTGAATGGCAACAGACGATCGAATGCGTCTTTTGTGGTGGCATCACCGGCGTTGACGCGATGGTCATCTAGAAGTCCGTCAGCATAGCACCGTCAAGGACCGCGTGCGAACGCGAAGAGCGCATGGACAAAGTCACATTGTTTTGCGCACCGATACATAGAGGGTCCGAATATATAGAGCTGGAGGTCAGCCGGCGGCATGCTATGCTTGTAGTGCTATATTGTCGTCGTTGTCGTCGTCGTCGTCGTCGTCGTCGCTTCGGTCAACATTGGTCGGGCCTCATCGACCACACGGTGCAGTCGATCAGAAGGCGAACGTGAGATAAGTCCGAAGCTCGTTCAGGCACCCCATGGCATCCGCGCTTGAACTCATCCATCCCATCCCCCACTTGCCCCCACGCGTATCATCTCAGATAGCATAGAAGCCTAAGAAGGCACACTCTCGGAGACCGTGCGTCTACTTTAATGGCGTTTCCCCCCCCCCCCCCCCGCTGGCAAGTACACTCCGTTCGCTGCTGATCGCAGACACACCTTACAAACGTCGAGACGCCTTTTCGTGGTCAGATATATCTGCAGTGTCTGCGTGGTATGCTTCTGGCATATGGATTTAAAAGTCAGCTTATAGGAACGTAGCGCTATGTCGACACAGGAACCGCATAACGGACTGTCGGTGGAGGCTTTGCTGTCCAAGAGCCTGAGATCGAGATAGGCAAGTGCCCGTCAATGTCCTTCAGTACAGCATGTTCCAGTAGAACGTAGCCGCGGCGGACTAGCAATACAGCACGAATCCAGGTCATCGAGTGGGATTAGCCTCGATGCGCGATGCGTCTCTTGTGCGACCCATTGTGCGAAAGGTGCATATTGTTCCGCTATCGACAGCTGGCCATTCTGTCCCTGAGAAGAAAAAACGCGGAAGACTCGACCCACGCCTTCGTAGCATTGTTTTTGCAGCATCAGTACAATGACCATGAGTGACGAAGAGCGGCACATCACTTGTGTCTGCCGAAGACCGCGATGTGTCGAAAACGGAGCGCCTAGGCGTGGTGTCGCTGACCCGCCCCTCAGGCTCTTCTCGGCTCTCCAACGAGTATTGGTTTGATTTTGCAGCTAGGTCCATATCGTTGGGCCCCGC